AGGTCTGAGGCTGGTCGGATGGTCAGACTCCTGGGGGACAAAGCAGAAGGCTCTGAGTGTGAGATGGGACTGGTATCCACACCAAGCTGTCCCTTCCCTGTCCCAGGTGCCACCTCTCACCTTTCCTCCAGGGCCTCCTGGACTGACTGCAGCAGGCTCCTGGGCAGGAGGGAGCGGCATTAGAAGTCGCCTTTCTTCCCCCCTCAGCCTGCAACTCCCCTCCTCGTCACTCACCTGCTCAGTTCCTCCTTTCCCAGAAGTGTCCACTCTTCCTCCCACTGGGGGATACCAAGGCAAGGAACCCAGGAGAGAGGCGGAGAGAGACAATGTGAGAAAGCAAGATAGCAGGGGAGGAGTAGATAGACAGACAAATGGACGGTGGGATGTACTAGACAAGACTCACGAGAGATGATGAATGAAACAACTGACGACAAAGGCAGAGCAGGATGTAGGTAGGGTGGGGACTTGGGCCCACAACATGCCATGTTTTAGAAAGGTATGGTCGCCCTGCCACCTTCCTGGCTGCCTTGGAAGGAGCCCCAGCCCCCTGCCCCTGGGTGGTACAGAAAGCCCCTCATTCAAAACACCTCAACTTAGGGGACTTAACCTGTACCCCAACCCCTGCTCCGATTGCTCCACCCTGCACAGCCCCTTCTCACCGGCTCATTGAGTGGGTCTGTTTCTTTCCTTCGAGGGGCACCAAACTTCACCTGGTGAACTGGAGGTGGGGGGCAAAGCACACAGCTTAGGGACCCAGAGTCTCAAGACTGACCTCTGAGTTCCCAACACAGGCGCACATGGCTCCCCCTGAAGACTCACACTGGATCTCAGAGGGCGTCCTCTCAGCAGAGCCGTGCTGTCCCCTCGAGTGTATAGTGTCTGGAAACATGTCATAAGCCTAGGAAAGGACAGACCCAGCAGGCTCACACCCAGCGCCTCCCGCAGCCAGGACTCCTAAGAGGTACTTCACATGCTCCAGGGTGTTTTGCTTTTCACCACTCCAAGAGGCACCCTCATTTCACAGATGCCAAAACTGGCATAGAGAGATCAAGTAACTTGCCAAAAATCACACAAAAAACAAGAGTGCTTAGTCATGGTCATGGTCAGCTTAGTCATGATCACGGTCAGCCCAAGGTTCCCAAAGGCGAGAACCTACCAAGAGGGAGTGGAAGAGAAGCAAGGCATGGCTCAGGAAAGAGGCCTACTAAGTGAGCTTGCGTGCAGGGCAGGGGCCTGGACTTGGGCACCCTTGTGGTTCTTTCCCACCCCCCAGCCCACTCGCACCTCCAGCTCACAGTCTTCAGGGGACAGGCTTCCCAGATGGGGGTCGCTGGCCTTGTCCAGGAGCTGAGTGAGGAGGGCCCGGGGGAGGTGCTGTGTCGTGAATGGGTGCTGGAGGAGCAAGGGGCCGTCAGCTGGGCTCCGTCCTCCAGGCTCCGCTTTGAGTGCCAAGCCCCAAGCCTGCCTGCTTCCCACCTGCAGAAGCTTCTCAGCTGTGGGCCTCTTCTTGGGGTTCTTGGTCAGGGCCAGCTTGAGGAAGTGGTGGAAGTTCTGGGTCCTAGTGGGCACAAGTGGTCCCGCCAGACTCAGGTGAGGCCTCATGCAGGACAGTTGCAGGGGCCCCCCATGCTCCAGGGTACACCCAGGAAGCAGCCAGCTGGAGCAATGCCATTGCAACACACTAGCGCCTCCACTGCCAGCTGCATGCCCTTCTTTCCTACCCACATGGGGTCTGCCCAGGGGTGAGTCCAGGCCCCTGGCTTGGAGGATCGGTCCGTAGAGGACTCTAATGGGCTTCCATGGAGGTGGCTCCTCCTTTCTTGGGGACCCAGCTAAAAAAGGGGTCCAGCAGGGGGCGTGAACTCTCACCAACATGTTTTTTCTCGCAGCTTGGGTGGTTGGAAGTTGCTTTTTGACATCAGCATCAAGGCCCTGTACAGGTATAAACCAAAAGTCAAGGGCTGCCAGGTCAGGGGTCAAGGGTCAGCAGGACAAAGGGTCAGGCAAAGGGCATATCTCAGACTGACCTCATAGGGTGCAGGTGAAAGAGAGGGGGCTGCAGCTCAGCCAGCTCAATGGCGGTGATACCCAAGGCCCAGACGTCACATAGCTCATTGTAGCCACCCTTGCGCTCCACTGCAGCCACCTCTGGAGCCATCCTAGAGGCAGGGTCACAGATGGGATGTCCAAGTGTCCCACCTATGGCTGGTACCCCACTGCCCAAGGCACAGCCTCACCAGTATGGAGTTCCAATGAAAGATCTTCTCTTGGCCACGGATGCTGTCAGCTCGCCTGATACCCCAAAGTCAGCTGCAAGGAGATGAGCAGCGGCTCTCTAGTCCTCTGGCCCCACCCACCACGGCACCACCAGAGCCCAGGCTCAGGATGCACTGGCAGGGCTATCCCAGGCCAGAAAAGCCTCTCCTTCAAGGGCCTACCAGCTTCGGTCCTTGAGGACTCAGCCCCCATCCAGCCCCACAACCTCATCCAGCTTCCAGCAGGGAGTACTTCCGGGGTTTCTAAATGCAGAAACTGAGGCTCAAGTGGTAAAGTGACTTGTCCAAGGTGACCCCGGGATGCTTGAAGCAATGTTCTCTCTGACACTTCTAGAGCCCTCACCCTGACGGAATCCCCTGGTACTGACCCAGCTTGACATCACCCTGGAGAGTGAGGAGAAGGTTGGCTCCCTGTGGGAATAAAGAGAGAGTCCTGTGCAGTGTCCCAGGCTGCTGGCTCCCACACCACATCCTTGGGCAGCCCCTACCTTGATGTCTCTGTGGATCTTCCCCTGAGAATGCAAGTGGTGGAGACCCTGGGGGCAGAGAGGAGCTCCTGAGTGCAGCTGCCTAGCACCAAGCCCTCCCTCCGAGCCCCTCCTATGGACTAGGGCCCCCCACTCAAGCTGCTTCCTCCTCCCCTCTCCCCAAACAGGAAGTGGCTGAGCCAAGAGGGAAATGGGCTGCTTCCGGCAACAGGGCTGGGGCCCCTTCCCCGAGGACCCATGGCCCTGCCCAGCTCTGTCTGTAGGACTTCCCCGGAGCTCTGGGCTCTGGCTCTGGGGCCCCCATGTAAACATCTGATGGGGTTGAGTACCTTCAGGGCCTCTCTGCAGACATAGGCAATCTGCCGTTCCTCCAGGGGCCCTGTGGCTGAAATGGAAAGGTGAGGGCTGCTGGGGGGGGGGGATCTGGTGACCCTTCCTGACCACCCCGTGTGGGAAGAGCAGTAGAAGATGCTAGATGAAAGGGATGCTAGCCCTATCTCCTCTGGAGACCAGAGAAGGACAGCGGTTTCTCAAGGTCACACAGTCAATCAGAAGTGGAGAGGAGCCCGAGTCCAACACTGTTTCCTCTCTTTCCTCTCACCCAAACACTGAGGGTGGGGGGAGAGGTGTGGTTCTCACCGTGGTAAATTTCCTGCAGGGACCCCCCTCCACAGAACTCCATGCAGATCCACAAGCGATCATTCCTGGGGTGGAAGACACAAAACTGAGATGGGCACATGGCAGGCCACACGGGGGCTGCCGGGGGCAGGAGGATAAAGCGTCCTCACCTGAGGTAGCTGCCAATGTAAGCCACCACATTGGGGTGGCGACACTCACGGAGGATGGTGATTTCTTGCTGGAGGGAGCTGATGTCGTCCCCTGGGGAGCACAAGACATCACACAGGGACCGAAGAGCAGTGGCCGGGACTCAAGGCCCCCATCTGCAAAATGAGAGCGTGCCTCCCTCCTGGCTGCACAGGGGCCAGGCCCCAGAACCTTCCGGGCTCGCCTCGTAGGGGGTCTGGAAATGTCAACTCTCCGCCCCCGGCGGCGCGCCGGGCATCGCCCTGCCTGCCTCTGGCGCGCAGGCCCCTCCTGGGCCCTCACCTGGGTCGAGCTTGACGATCTTCACAGCGGCCAGCTCGGACGTGACCGTGTCGCGGGCCTGCGGGGCGCAGGGGGTGCAGCGGGATGAGGAGGCGGGGCTGGGGGCTTGGCCGCTCGGCGGGGCGCTAGCGCGCCCCCACCGCCACACGCGTCCGCGCGCCCTCCCGCCCGGCGCACCTTGTAGACGTCGCCATATGTCCCGGCTCCCACGCGCTGCAGCAGCTCAAAGCGGTCCCGCGGATCCTGCAGCGACACATCCCGCAGTAGCGCCATGGCCCGGCGCCGGGCGGGCGCGAGCTGCGGAGCCGGCGCGGGGCGGGGCAGGGCGGGGTGAGGCGGGGCGGGCGCCGGTGGCTCGGAGGCCGTGGGGGCGGGGCCAGGCTGGAGACGCCCAGCCGCCCGGGCGGGAGGGGGCGCCGTGGGACAGGCCTACAGTGGCGCGGGGAAGCCCCAAGGCCGGGCAGGGCTTGAGTTCTCGCCGGCCACTGGTGCCTCGCGCTATAGAGGTGGTGAGCACGAAGTCCAGAGGCAGAGGAAAGAAGGGATGGTCCGCTCCCTGCCCCGTTTCCCAGATGAAACACGGACATGTATTTTTTTTAACAAAATGTATTCATCTCCCTTGCAACTGAAAAATAAATCTATGTACAAAACAGGAAGCGATGAGCTCCCCCACACCCAACCCCCCGCAGATTTCCTCCCGGGTCCCTGAAAGGGGATGACCGTCGGGGAGGTCCCCAGAGGTCCTGCTTTCATCTGGGGCCGGTGGTGTCAGGAAGGGGTGGGGCTTTGCATCCCGGCCTCCAGGGGGCGGGAAGAGAAAGGGCAGCTGGTTTCAAAATTTCTGCCAGTGGGATTTCAAGTTCTTTGGGGGGCAGGGTCTTGGATTCCCAAGGGATGGAATTCGTAAGCGCGGAAATGCGCTTCTGGGTGCTGAGTGTGATCCTGACTTCTGGACCACAGGCGGGACCGCCGCTCCTAGTGTCACGGTCCAACCCTCTGCCCTTAGGAGTGGGGAGGGACCCTGAGGGTCTTGGTCTGGTCTAGGGCTAGCGCTTCCGCTTCCGTTCCACGGAGGGGTCAAGTTTCCAGGGACTGGGCCCAGGATTGTGGTGAGGCGTCAGGCTAGGACTGCAGGAAATGGGACCTGTATTCTAAGGACTGAGTCCTGGATCCCGAGCAGGAGTGAATCCTTAGTTCAAGCGCTGAGTAAGGCATCCGCAGGCCAGCAACCAGGAGCTCAGGACAGTCCTGGGTCCTGGGGAGCTATGGCCTGGGATGTGGGGAGGGAGGCAGCCAGGATCCGTCAGAGAGGTGGAGCCCGGGCTGCGGTGGGCTGGAGGAAGTTCTTGGGGGCTCAGAGGCCCTTGCGCTGCCGCTTGAGGAAAGACAGTGTGTAATCGCTGGGCGTGGACACCTTCTGCTTCTTCATCTGCACTTGTGATTGCGCAGTGAGCTGCAGCTTGATGGCGCTCGAGTTGATCTTGGTGGCCACCAGCAGCTCCTTCATGCCCTTCATTTTCTCGCTCTGGAAAGTGAGCACAGGGCCCTCCGGAGGTGGCGACGCAGCAGGCACAGGCACTTGAGCCGCAGTGCCGGCTTCAGGGCCCCGGACAGTGCCTGGGACCATCCCCGGGGGCTTCCGGGGGGGTCCTGACCCTGGGCCCTGGCCAGAGCCCGGTGCCTTGTCCAGCGCGGGCTTCTTGGGAGGTGGTGGCTCCTCTGGCTTGGATTCCCGCCGAGGGCCCCGCCTGCGGCCTTCCCGGGCCTCCTCTCCCCAGGGCTCCTCTGCTTCGGCTGCCTCAGCATCTCGGCTCACTATGTGCACCTTCTGCCGCACCTGGGGGCAGGGGAGGTAGAGTAAAACCATGTCAGCCATAGCCACCTCCTTCTAGGGTCTCAAGTCTCATCTATACCCAAGGAGGATGAACAGGTGCTGCTTCTTGGCTACAAGGGCCTGCTGTTCCCTCCTGTAGCGCCCAGCCCTGCCCCTCACCTGTCCCTCGAAGCGGCCCAAGGACTGCACAAGGAAAGTGGCCCAGCCCACATGCAGCACAGGCGTGGGGCTGCCCTCCTCCCACTTGCAGATGCCATCATAGAACCGAAGCAGGTGGGCGAAGCACTCAGGGTCTTGGAGGGCAGATCCCTGGCTCTGGGTGCCCTGGACAGAGTGAAGAAGGAAAGGGCATTGGTCAGACCCCTTTATCCCTCAACACAGGGCATAGTCCTGACCACAAAAGTGTGCACGGGACAGGAGCATTCTCAGTGTCTCCCTCCTTTCTCAAAGCCAGTCCTGAGTCAGGACAGATGGGGGGAACCGTCCGTCAACTCCACACTGAGAATGCTGGATGTGAAAGAGATGGGCCTCCTTCCCATTTACCTGAGGGCAGAAGTGAAACCCCACAAACCCTGCCTGTGACCACCTTCCACGCTCAGTCCCAGTCCTGGCCGCGCAGTCCCATGTCCTGTGGTGGGGCCTGCCCAGATGGGAGGTGAACACCAGCAGCACTCTAGCCCTTCACCTGGGTCTGCTCCCCCGGCCGCTCTTCGCCTGCCTCCAGCAAGCTGGCTGCCTCCTTCAGCAGGTTGGGGATGACATCATTGGCCACTTCAAAGAATTCCTTGTAGATCTCCTCATCCTCCCGGCAGTAGTTGTAGCTGTGAGAGCATGGGGTTGTGGGGTCGCAACCATGGTGAGTAACCCCAGGGAACTGTGGGAGATGGGGCCAGGCTTCTTGGTGAGCAGCTGGGGTCCTTGCTTTTCTTAAGATGATGGCAGCTATGTCAGCCCAGAGCAAGAGTGAGGGCTGGGTATGGGGCCAGAGATGGAGGGCTCACTGAAAAATGGCAGTGATTAGAAACTGAGGAGGAAGGCAAAGGCATGAGGCTTTGATCACATGTCCCTACCTCTCGGATGGTGGTGGCCTTGGCTTTGTAGGGACTGAAAGCAGGAAACAGGGCTTAGGCCCAGGTCTCACTGCTGCATGAGAATGGTCAGAAACCAGGTGGAGAGAGAGGAAAGGACAGGCTGGAAGCCCTTTGGGATTGAGGTGGGGTCCTCACTCTTGGATGACAGTGGCTGTGTCTGCCCAGGCCTGCAGAGCTTCACGCACATTGCGATTGCGACAGTGGTAGCCAGCTAGGTACATGTAAGGGTAGATGTGCTCATCACGGTAGTAGGTCTTGGCTGAGGCAATGCCCTGGGAGGAGAGGGCACAGAGTGTCAGGGAGGCAGCCCCCAAGTGACCTGGGCTAGCATGAGTGGCCCTCCAGGTCCCATCCAGGAGGGGTAAAAGGAAGACCTCAGGGTCTTCCCAACTCTCTTCCCTGCCAGCCCCTCTACCTGGTGCTTCTCCTTGAACTTGCAGGGCTGCTTGCTGAGGTTGGGGCCAACCACAGAGGCAGGGTGCCCCATAGGACAAGGCTGTTCTATGGAGGGAGGACAGGAGCCCAAACTCCAATCCCAGGGTAGGGCTCTTTCCTGGGTTTTGCACACTCTTCTACATATACCTCCAAGACTTTCAAACCAGATCCCCCACTCCCCAAGTTAATAACCCCTCATCAGTGCTCCCATCACATGTGACCTGTTACACACCGGAAGGATAAGAGGCAACAGAAAATGCAAGGCTGGGGGGATATACTCAGGCCCTGACAATCCTAGCCTGGGGAACCCAGGGTACCGCTTGGACAGCTCTGCCTACACTGAGTATGCACGTGGGTAATAATCCCCAAAAACACAAAGTTCTCTTTTATCCCTCTTCTGTCCCCAGAAAGGGGAAAATGGGAGCCCAGGTCCTTCCACCCCACCTTGTTGTGAGAAGACCTAACCTTGTGGTAGAGAGTGAGTGGGTCGGGTCGGCCAGGGGTGGGCTCCAGCTCCTCCAGATCTGCCAGGTTCCCCAGTGCCATGGGGTACCTGCAAAAAAATCATTAAGTCAGGACTGGGGATTTAGCTCAGCGGCATAAGCGCCTGCCTTGCAAGCAGGCAGTCTTGAGTTCGATCCCTGGTACCGATAAAAACAAAAAAGACAAAAAAAAAAATCGTTAAGTCTACAATGCCTCCTCTGGCCCTGTCAAGCAACTTCCCCTTACTGACCTTTCCAGATGTCCCAGGTCATAGAGCAGCCAGAGCAGCTTCTAGAAACCAAAGAAGAAAACTGTTAGCTGGGTGGGGGTTGGTACCCATCACGCAGAGGTGAACAATTCAGGAATCAACCAGTTAAAGGATCAAAGCTCTTTCACGTCTCCATTTTACTTTCCAAAGAGCCCTGGGAAAGGCCAAACCAGGAATTATCTACTCATTTTACAGAAGCAGATGCACAGAAAAGAGGCCCCTGCCCAAGATCCCACAAGTTATACTACTAGCCTGACCTGGCTCCTGCCTTACTCTGGGGCCCATGCTTCACCTGCTGTAGCTGCAGCAGCTCCAGGGAGTCAGTGTGTAGGTCAATGGAAGGATTGATGGCACACACCATGAATGCCACCTCCATCTTTCGGTCACAACGCATGTATGATCCCTTCAGGTACAGCCAGCTCTTAGGAGGAAGGGACAAGACCACATGTCTCACGACAGCCCACACAGCGCTTGCTTCAGGGAATGACAGCAGGAGAGGGGCTCATCTGCATTTCCCTCTTGAAATACATAGCTGGTGACAGAAAAGGGGGACAAGGACCCAGGGGAATAGGGTCCTGAGACTAGCAGAGTATGAAGGGGACAAGGTGGGAAGGGGGTACGATACCCGCTCAGCCACACCCGCGTTGACCGTCTGACCCCTGCGGTCCTCGTTGCCTTTGCCATGCCAGGTGACCTCAGCTGTCTGCTCCCCATTAGGTCCAAAAACTACCCAGGCATGATCCTCAGACAAGGCTAGGTGGACATCCCGAAGACCCAGGGCCTGGCAGGCCCCCACAACAGCAAAGGCTACACCCGAGCTGTCCAGTTTAGTGCCTGTGGAAGGGAGAGCAGGGAATGAAGCTTCTTGGGCCTGCAAGCTGAAGGGAGGGGACCAGGGTTGGGTGGGCCACACCCTCTCCTACAGTCCCCAAGCCTGCTGCCAAGTCTGTGCATCTCCCATTGCTCACAGCCTCCCCCACCCCATGGTACAACTCAGTCCCCAGCAAGACCTTTCTGGAGTTTCTACAGCTCAGCCCAATCTCTACTTTGTCCTTTCCCCTTCTCTGTAATCATATTACATATCTGTATTAATTTATGAATTGCTCACTTTTATGGCACTTTATTACAGTAGAGGCAGCAAAAACAGGACATCAAGGCCAACACTTTCACACAGCCACCAACACTCATTCATCACTGCACTCTCTTCCTACTAAGCTCAGAAGCAGTCTCTGATTCCTGCTCAGTACAAGCCAGGACTCCATTGCATCAATTGGACTCGACACAGTGGCATTCTGTGCAAGTCTTGAGACTTTACTTGACAGCAAGTCTGTGATGTTTCTTTTCAAAACATTCATTTCATTTAGTTGTCCCAAACAAAGACCCTCCTTTGTTGCCTAACCTCCTCTCCCTGACATGCTATCATGTCTTGGGCCCCATGTTGGGCTTAGTATGCATGTATTTCAATTGTAGGACTGGGATTATGGTAGGTTAACAGATATGGAACCAAATTACCAGGTTCCAGTCCCAGCCCTGCACTCGCTGACGCTAGCACATCACTTTCCCTACTGGACTCAGTTTCCCCAAATATAAAAGGAGAAATAGCATCTGTCCCATTTCACAAAGTATACAAGCAAAATGGTCCTGTAAGCCACAGTGCTGAGAAGAGGTGACTTAAGATTCATTCTTGCCCTGCCACCTGTCAGGCTCCAACCTGTGATGAAGCTGAAGAGAGATTGGATGTGGGCGCGGTCCTTGAAATAGGAGCGGCTGAGGCTGTTCCATATGACATCCGAGACCTTCTTCACCAGCTCTCGGCTGGAGACGCCTCCCTCCCGAGGGTAGAGGGACAAGTCGACCGCGCCGCGGATCTGAGCCGTAAAGCGGGCATACAGGGCAGCGATGATAGATAGGTCAGCCACCGGGAAGAAGGTGAGGCCGCCGGGAGGGTCGGGCGCGGGGCTGGGCTGGAAGGAGAGCTCGGGCACATTGGTGGGGATGACACGGTTGACAGCCAAGAAATGCTCCACGAAGCCCAGAACCAAGGAGAGGAGCACCAGGTCCGGCTCCTCTCGGCCCAGCTCTGCAGCGAACAGGCGCACCACGTCGTCGATGGAGCGCAGCGGGAACAGCGTCTTCTGGGCGGCCTTCAGCCCCATGGCGGCGGGCGGCGGCCTACGAACGAGCCAGGGATTGCAGAGGGAGAAAAAGGTCGGGCTTGGCCCGGGCGCCCCCTCCCAGGCTCCGCTAAGGTTGCACCCCACCCCCAACTCTTTGCTTCCCCGCCCCCTCCAGTCTCCGCTCTCCAGCCGCCCCTTCTCCGTCCGCCAGGCAGCACCACCCAACCCCGCGCTGGGCCGAGGTGGTAAGGCCTCCGCGTACCCTGCAACCCAGGACCCCCGGCCCGATGGGGGTGTGCTTCAAAATCTGAGGGTCCCCAAAGGCCGTCCCGCCCTTTCCTATGACTACACTTCTGGCTCCCTAGAGTCCGTGCGGAAGGCACTCCCGGACCAACCCCCTCTAAATCCAAAGGCGAGTCCTGGCCTTGGTCCCCCGCGCCCACCTCCAGGCTTACATCCCACACAAGGCACCGCGGCGCCCGCCGCCTGGAGCCTGCTGGGAAATAGAATCCCGCCCCCTTGACCCCGACAGCCTGCCGGGAAGTGGAGTCCAGCGCCGGGCTCGCCTCCGCCGAGTGTCGAAACGACAGCGCCCGCGGTGGCTGATGGGAGAGTTAGTCCTGCGGCTCCGGGCGCCTGCAAAGCAGGTAAGAGGTGGGAAGACGCGCTGCTTCCCAACTCAAGGATTGGCCGTTAGTAGAGGGTCCGCGGTGCGTTCTGGGGGTTGTAGTTCGGAGAGTGGTCGCTGTGATTCTGGAGGGTTACTTGTCACTATGTGGAGCATTGTGTGGAGAACGGGTACTTTGAAACCCTGCTAGAGTGCAAATGTGTTCAGTCGCTATACTTGGATATTTGTATCTTTTAACCTGTAACCGTGCTTAATATGTGTCTAGTAATTTTCACCCAATGCCACTCGTAAGAATATCTAAAATTGAAAGAGAACCATTGAGTGATAGTTATTTTTATTAGGTTAAAGATTTAAAAAGACAAATACATAGTTTTGTACATCCTAAAATAGATTTCAGAACATATTAGTAAAAGAAAAAGAGCTGTTAGTAAAATAAAAAGAGCTGCAGAATAGTATGTAAGATAGGGTAGTGCTTATAGTAACATATTATTCATTCCTTTATTCACTAAGAAGAGTATTTCTTGTGCCTACAATAAGCCAGGCACTCAATTCTGAGCATCATGTATATGGCCAGTGAATAAAATGTGATTACATTTCTGCCTTATTTTCTATAGCTTTTTTTTTTTTGTCAAAATCAGTAATTCAACCAGGTGTGATGACACACGCTGAAATCTCAGCTACTCAAGAGGTTGAGGCAGGAAAATTGAGTGTTAAAGAAAGCCCCAGCAGCCAGTTCAGTTTGAGTTACAGTGTTGGCGCTTTGTGTTGCAGTTTGGGCACTTGTCTCTAAAAGGTTCGCAGTCACTGCCTTTGATCTCTCCTTCATTGTCCCATGCCGTACTTACTGTGTCCAAATCCACCCCAGCCCCTTCTTTGCCAGTACTGGAGATTGAACCTAGGAGCTTTGCAATGAGCTACAGTTCCAACCCTTTTTTAAATTTTTTTTTTGTTTGTTTTGGTTTTTGAGACAGAGTCTTGCTATGTAGTTTAGGCTGGACTTGTATCCTAGACTGGCCTTGAACCTGCAGCAATCCTCTTGCCTCAGCCTCCCAAGTACTAGAAATACAGGCATGTATCACCATTCCCAGCTTCCCAATCATTTAAAAAGATTTTTATTAGGCAGGATCTCTCACTAAGCCTGCTAAATTATTTATACTGGGCTCAAAATTATGATCCTCAAAAAAATTGTGATCCTCCTGTCTCAGCCTCCCGGTATTCTGGAATTACATGTGTGTACCACAATACCTGGCAGCCTTTTTTTTTTTTTTCCTTTAACATATTTTACTTTTCAACAGCATTTTGCAAAGATGCCTTGAACTTGAGATCCTTCTTCCTCAGCCTCACGTGTGCCACCATGCCTGCCCGACAGCTCCTTATTCCTAAGATCCCTGCTGAAGTATGTAGGTATGGGGTTCAGGGTGTCTGCAAGCTGTTTCCAAATGGTGTATGAGTTTGTTTTGCTTCACTGTAATGACTTACTTGAAGCTGGGTACTTTATAAAGAAATGTTTATGTAGGTGATTGTTTTGGAGGCTTAAATTCCAAGCAGCACTGTGCCACCTCTAGAAAGCACCTCCTTGGCTATGTGACATCCTGACAGAAGGTATCTTGGTGGGAGCAGGGAAAGGTGAGCTCAGATGGTAAGACACAGCACAGAGAGGCTCTTTCTTTCAAGAGCTACTCCAGTCCCTTCTGGGGACAGCACTCCTAGGGCCTAACACACTCCCACTATTCCCTACCTTTTTTGTTTGGGTTGTTGTCTTTTTGAGCCAGGGTCTCACTATGCAGTTCAGGCTGGGCTTGAACTCACTTTGTGGCCCAGGCTGGCCTCGAGCTCATGCCAATCTTCCTATCTCAGCCTGCTGAGTGCTGGGTGCCCCCCCACCCCCACTTGGCTAGCACCTCCCATGAGACGAGTCTGAGGCTTGGGGAGGCAGGTAACTTGCCAGTGACAGCACACCTACACTAGCATCCAGGTGGTCTGACCTCCCCATCCTGGGTTCCAACCCAGGATTTCATGGTAAAAGTCAGGGATTTAGCTCAGCAGCACAAGCACCTGCCTGGCAAGCAGGAGATAGTGAGTTCAACGCCTTGGCACCAAAAAAAAAAAAAAAAAGAAAGAAAGAAAGAAAAGAAAAGAGAAGAAAAGAGAAGAGAAAAGAAAAGAAAAGAAAAGAGTGGAAAAGAATTTCATGGTAAACCGCCAAGTCCCATTCCCAACCAGAAGGTGGTGCTCTGCCTCTTCTCCATACTTAGGTTTCCTTAGCTTTAGGCCGTGCTCAGAGCCTTAGGGCACAGTCATCAAGCCCCCAAGGCTTGGCCTGATCTCAGAGCTCAAACCTCACTATCCTTACCCATCTACCTCAGCCTGGAATCCTGGATCCTTGCAGCTAAGAACACGTGATTTCCCTCCCAGGCCTGACCTCCACCTCCTCCCTCACCCTCTCCATATTCGGGTGAGCAGTAGAGGCCAGATGTCCTGGGTGGGCCCCCAAATCCACCTCTACCCCACCCCCCTGCCCCTAAGCCACGCTCTGTCACCTGTAGAAACTGGGCTCCAGGGGGTTCAGGTTGCTGGTTGGGCTTGCACAGAGGGACATGGGAGAGGGGAGGAAGAGAAGAGCAAGCTAGGGGGCGTATCTGCCCCATCAGCCCTCAGCCAAGGCCAAGTTCTCCTTCCTCAAGCCATATCTCTTGCCCACTCAGGCCCTCTGCTGCATTGTCTATGGGTTCCGGGATACCCCAGCTTCTAGGTGAGTCCTTATCACTTTGCAGACTGTCCCTTTGTTACTAAACTGTCCTGATTTACCCGACTTGAGTGTCATCTAATTCCTAAAAATGCAAGGAAGTTGCCCCAGTCTAACAAAAATACCCCTAACCCCCTACCCTCCAGCCCTCATCCCGAACCACTGAAACCCAAGAGGACAGACCCACATCAGGAGGCCACCAGCCTACAAAGTTGTCTTTATTGGTTTCTTGCTGCTTCACAGAGCATCCTGGTCTCTCCCAGGAATGTGGCTTTTGAGGAGATAAATATTTATTTTGCCCCCCACAGTTTGGTAGGGGGAGGTTTAATAAAAATAGTAATATAATAACAATAACTGTGATCAATAATAAAATGCCCCCTATATTCCCCTAATACATAGTGGTTGAAGCTTCAAGAAAAAGGATCCCCTTTTCTGGGAAGGGCCAGTGAGTGCCTGGAGACCCTTGAGTGGCCCTGCCAGGTATCCATCTCCCATCTAGAAGCCCCTATAAATACCCCCCATCCCATCCCTGCCTAGATCGCTTCTCCCCTGGCAGATAAGCCGACAGCGTCAGTCCTGCTCCCAATCCCCCTAAGCCCTCTCCAGAGAAAGGACCCCAGGCCTGGGTGCTCTGCCCAGCTCCCTTCCCTACCCCTCTCATCTCCTTAATTGGTTCTCTTTATCCCTTACCTCCTCTGGACGGTTTCTGTCTCCTTCCAATTACTCCCCCTCCCCCTCCACTCTGCCTCTCTCTTGCCTTCTTCACCTACTTTCTTTCTCCTCTTCTGTCCTTTGCTCTGAATCACAGCCTTTCCTTAATTTTTTTAAGTACCTGTCTTTCCCACCCTGACCTTCAACAGACGCCTTGCTGGCCTCATCTCAGCCTCTGCTAGGGGCCTGCCAGTGTGCAGACAGGACTCCTGGTGGCTCCAAGGACCCTGTGCTCCTCCTGGCCCTCATCCCAATGCTTCCAACCTTCCCAAGGCTTGGCACTGGAATGAAGCACTTTGGCACAATTAACCCTGGCACTAGGGCTGTTCTATCCCCAGTGGCCAGCACGGGCTGGCATGGGAGCCAAGAGAAAGGGGGGATGAACAGGACCCCTGCTCCTGGGAGCCCAGGCAGCCTCCCAGGCACCGTCCCACCCAGGCCCTCCCTGAGTCCGTGTGTTCACGTGTCCCGGCCAGCCGGGGTACGGAGCTCCTCGAGCTCTTGGCTCACGTCTTTCTATCCTGGTATGGGGTGGGCCCTGCCGGTGCGTGTTACAGGGAGCTCTCAGACTCAGGGGCTGCAGGGAGGCTCCGGGGCCGCTCTGAGACCTGGAAGGCAGAGGAGAGGAAGTCAGGTAGGAAGAGCACGAGGACTCCACGGTCTCTAGGTTGTGCCACCCAGATGCCCTCCTGACACTCAGTGCCTTGGAGGAAGTGATCTATGCTGTGTTGTTGGGGGAGCTGAGTCCCTGAAGAGTGAAGACCTACTGAACTGTGCAGGAACCCACAACCCTGTGGATTCAGTCAACACGCATGCTTTATTCTAGTCAGAGTAAAACCTGACCCCTGCCCTCAAGGAACCCACAGGTGAGTAGAGAGGACAGGCATCCAGAAGAAAACCAAAGCACAGCAGGAGACACAGTGACCACTGGACAAGGTGGCTAGGAACACTTCTTTGAAAGTGACAGTGGTGGCCAGGCAGCCTGGAGACCAATCAGGGTAAGAACAGAGAAGGACACTGGAAAGAGAGGTGTGTGCTGGGGCAGTTGGGGACTTGATTGGAGGAGTAGTGAGGAGCTTCTCAGGTCTCAGGTCTTTCCTATTCCCAGTCAGAATGGGTAGCTCCCTCCCCACTGCTATGCCAATCCACTGATTGGTTCTTGGAGTGTTGCTTCCCAGCAGAGCGCTGGCCTAGCATTGTCAGGGCTCTGGGCCCAGCCCCAGCACGGAATGAGGCTGAGGACATTCTCTAGAGCTCCTCTCTTGGAGCGTTGTTCCAGGTGCCAAGCACTGTGCTCAGCTCTTCCCCGTAACACCACTTCCTTCTATAGGTGAGATCTACTCCAGAGCAGTCAGAACTGAGAGTGCCACGCGCCTCACCTGCCGGCGAGGGGTGAGGGAGATTGTGCAGAGAGGGCAGGTGGCCTCAGACAGGACGGCGAGCCCCGGGGATGGGCGAGGACAAAGTTCCTCCCTCTGGCTCACCTTTGTCAGGGAGGCCGCGGGGCTCAGAGGCCCCTGGGAACAGGACACTGATTCGCTGGACAGAGATGTCCAAGGTTTCCTCTTCACTGCTGCAGGAGCAGAATGGGTGAGCAAAATGCCTAGGTCACACTTGAGGGACGCGAAGTGAGTGGGGATCTGGGGCAGGGCGCGAAGTTCTTGGAGGTTGTGGGGCTGCCCTTACTCGAGTCTGCATCTCTAAGGAGGCTGTCCCTGCCCACGGACGTGGGGAGCCGCGACGTCTCTGAGAAGCTGTGGGGCCGCTGTGGGCCGGAGCCACGGGCACCTTTGGCCTTCTCTTCCGGAGCCTGTTAGGGGACAGTGCATAGGGTGTGGAACTGGGGCGCCCTACAGACCAGATCAATGGGAGTTTACCAGGGGGCGGCCTCACTACAGCCAGGTAACCACAGAGGCCTGTGATTGGCTCGCAAGCACCAGGGCCCTTGTGATTGGCTCCCGCCCACCAAACAGGCCAGTGATTGGTTCTGAAGGACTCACCCTGGCACTCGGCCGCCCATCCGTGGGCCCCATATGCACCAGATGGTTGAAATTAGTGGGTGGTGAGATGAGCTTGGAGCGCACGAAGGGGTCCTTCAGCATCTCTCTGCGGACAAAGCGGGTATCAGAGAGCAGAGAAACAAAGGCAAGGCCTCCCAGACCCTCTGCGGAAAGTCGCTTCACCCCAGGCGGAAGGCCCCGCCCAGCCCCAGCTGCCATACTGCGCATGCTCACCTGCGTTGCTGCAGCCGCTGCTCATCCGACACGCGGAAGAACCACCTGCGTTTGCTCTTGGTGCGAAACAGCTGGCGCCGGCTGTTGTCAGTGAGGTCGGGGATATCGAACTCGTCCTTTTCTGTGGGAGAAACAGAGAGCTAGGGTTCCTCATGAGTTCACAGAGCCCGGAAGCTGGCCTTCGGAGTCACACCCGCACGAGTGTAGGTGATCACACCCAAGGGTACACACGCGCCCAGGCCCACGTGCTCCCTCACCTGCCAGCCGGTTCCTGAGGTAGGTCAGGCGGACCTTCTCAGTGCCGTAGAGGAACAGGGAGCCCTCTGGATTCAGAGGCCGCACCTGGGACAGCAGGCACAGAGGTGAGGCCATGCTGCCCCAGCCCACTGCAGCGGGCCCCTGCGGATCTGGGCAGGCCTTCACCTTCTTGAGCGGCACAGTCTGCACCCACTCTGTTCTCCTCACGTCGAACACGTCAATTGAGTTCTCGCTGAACACTGTCAGGTAGGGGGCTGTGTAACCTGCGGATGGGAAACCGCTGTATTGTGCGGGCCCCAGGCAAGGCAGGCACCCCTCTCTGAGGTTGTTTCCTCCCTTGTTCCCGGTGCCTTGTCCTAGCAGACTGCCACACCCATCCAAAGCCTTTGCTCTGGAGACTCCCAGCTGCTCCACCTGCCTCCCTTACAGTGAGTTAACAACCATGTCTATGGCCGCACACCCACACGGTGCCAAACGTGTTTGTTCTCGCTTAATTCTCCAACAACGCTGAACAGGTACTACTGCTATCACCCCTAATTTACCGAGGAGGAAATTGAGACCCTAGTGCCAGGGAACAATCACCCAGCCGATGAGGCGCAGATGGGATTTGGCCCCGGAAATTTGGGTACAACATCTACATTACCACTGCAAACCCACCCCAAGAACCAAAGTACCAGGATAGAAGATCAAAAGCGCTGCCCCTGAAGGAAGCTGGCTCTCTCCCCTTTCCCTAACCTGATCACACCAGGTACCAGACCACCCCACTGCCCATTCAGTCATCCCTCCAAACATCCACAGCCGGAGGGCTGGCAGGCGTGTCTGGCTTAGTGCAGGATGTGAAAAAAACAGTTCCAACCCATTCTGCAGGCCCCCAGCGCACTAGACCAGCCATGATGTGGGTGATAAAAGCCAGGACAGAGGTCTGAACAAAGAGGTGGGAAAGCAAAGAGAAGCAAAGGACCAGCGATGGGGGCTGGCCAGGCAGGGACCATGAGGGAAGTAATGGCGAGGTCATTTGTGTAGTGGCTTCTAGCTCTGGGGACTGCAGTGCCATTGGAGATGAACTTAAGAGTTTGCCAGATACAGGACAAAGAAGGTCAGCTCAGGTAGGGGGAGAACAGAAGCAAAAGAACAAAAGACAAAGGTCCCATGCAGAGCAGGAGGTGCCAAGCTCTGAAATTTGGGCAGGACTGAGTTTCCTCTAACACACACAGGGGCTGGCACCACCCAGCCAGGCCTCCACCAGCCTTACCCCAGCCAATGGGTGCCACTGGCCACAACAGCTCATGGTTGCGTGACTTGCGGCCAGCGCCATCCACGTAGACACCAGCAGTGGTGAACAGCAGGAGGAGCTCATTAAGGCTGAGTTCCACGACACCCAGGGCTTCACCCAGGCCCCCTCGGGATGGTGGCAGCTCCTCAGGTGCCAGGCCGGCCCCCAAGGATAAGGGCGCAGCCTCATTGAGCAGTGGGTAGAGAGCGAAGGCACCTGCGGCACCCACACACAGGCGGTCGCCCAGCAGCCCCAGGCTCTGCACAGGTGCGGGTGCCTGCAGCTCCCGGATGCGACGTTGCCAGGGCCCTGGTCCTGGGCCCAGTTGGTAGCAGAGAACCTGCCGTTTGACAGCCACACAGAGCACAGGGGTTCGAGCCTGCAGGATGCGCCCAGCTGCCAGCACCTGGCAGCCTCGTGACTCGGGAATCTTGGCACCTGCCGCCTCTGTGCTCTCCAGCTCGGCCAAGGCAAAGAGGCGCACACTAGGGCCACGGCCACACAGCACAACCAGCAGGCCCGCAGAGGGACTCAGGGTCAGCTGTTGCACTCGGCGGCACTCCCCTACCTGGAAGATGTCTGTAGGGTTGAGAGGAGAAAGGAACAGATGGGTGAGAATCCACCCAGTCCCCGCCTCCTCTTTCCATTGGAAATGGTGCCACCCATGCCCAACCTGCCCAACCCTGCATGTACCATTGTTGTGTAGGTGGATCACAAACAGCCCCTCCTCGGTGCCCAGGGCAAGCCGCTCCTGGTCTGGTAGAGGTGGGAGAGGGTAAAAGGTCAAGGGTCAAGGATCAGAGGCCCAGCCCAGGATTCACCTGCTCTTACTGAGGCTGATTCTCTCTCTTTTTTTGGTTATTTGAGACAAGGTCTCACTATGTAGCCCAGGCTGGCCTTGAACTCACAGTGATTCATCTGCCTCAGCCTCTTAAGTGCTGGAATTACAGGCCTGTGCCATCATGCCTGGCCTGAGCCTGACTTTCTTGAGGTCATAGGGATGGTGATTCTATACAGTGTCCCCTGTCACTGGGCCCTTCTGTCCTGTAGCAACAAGCTCCAATGGGGAAGGTCCTCAGTGGCCAGGTCAGTGTGAGAGGCCTACCATCTCCCTGTGGGATTCTGGGTACTGCATGTCATGGCCTAAAGCCTCATTTTCCCCTAATGTAAACTGACAGCACAGCTGCAGGGAGAAAGAGGTGAAGTAGTGCAAGCGAGCACAGAGCAGAGCCAGTTACTCAATAGACGACATTGTCCCTCTGGCTCCCAAATGTCCCAGGGGACCCACACAGTCTCTCCTGTGGCTCCTATGCTGAGTGGCTGCAGGCCTGAAGCTCTCAGGGGAAGCCAAAGAGCTCTGGCTCATCTGTCTTTCCTTGTTGTTGATTACGGGGGTCCCTGCTGAGACCCAGGTGCCCACCACTCTGTTGTGGTCATCAGCTGCTGTATGACAGCAGGACTGAACCTCTCATTTGCCCCTTTATAAAGCCTTTGTTCCCTCTAACTCACATGCTAATCTTTTAGGTAAAGCAGAACCTGAGACAGAGAGTGACAGAGTGGAAAAGCCAGGCTCCCGCTGTGCTGGTTTTCCCCACACCCTGGCAGAGGAGAGATGTGTTGTGAGGGTATGTGTACAAGGCAGAGTTCCCAGCTCGAGGCTGCAGGGACGGCCTCTGACAGTGGCCTTCGCCACTGCACCTGTGCCAGCCCCTCCCCAAAGGCCCAGACTTCTCCCCCAGCCTGCTCAGAGTGGCACCCCTGCCCCAGGCTCACCAATGACAGCGGCGCACAGAGTATGGGACAGCAGAGGCAGCCCGTTGTCGTAGGCCTCCTTGAGTGTGTACACAGGCCGGGGCCGTGGCCTCGCCTCCAGCAATAGCCGCTGCAGCTCACCCAGCACCTGCAGCCAGCGCTCACGCTCCCCCTCACTGTCTGCCAGCAGCAGCACAGTACACGTGGTCGGTGGCACCGTCAGCTGGGAGGCTGTCACCTGTGGGCAGGGACACAGGCTGGAGGACTGTGGGCTAAGAGCCATCCATCCTTCCTCTCTTCCACCAGCGGACACTCGCAGTGTTGGGCATGGCCTAGAGCAGGGGAGGTGTCCCACAGGACACTTAGACAAGCACATGCCCATGTCCAGAGCCCTGAAAACTGTGCCACAGTAGTGGAAGGACAGGACCTAGAACACGGAGAAGGCCCCGAAGCCAGGCCAACAGGTGCAGGACAATAGCTCAGGGGACAAGCTGACTTCCCAGGAGGAAATCAGTGCAGGTAAGGATGGGGCTAGAAAAAGGTAGCGTACAGAGGAGAAGAATGTGACACCATAAAGGAGGTGTGCACAGGGGCTGGGGATTTAGCTCAGCAGCATAAGCGCCTGCCTTGCAAGCAAGCAGTCGTGAGTTTGATCCCTGGTACTGATGAAAAGGAGAAAGACAAAAAAAAAAAAAAAAAGGAGGTGTGCACAGGCACGGGGACTCTGGGAACCGGAGGCAGCAAGGTGAGGCCAAAGCAGAAAGACACCAGCATGGAGGTGCTGGTGCTGGTGCTGCTTGTGGGGCCAAATCTATGGGGCCTCACAGCCTTGTCAGGAGCCTCATGATGGTGCTGGGAGGTCACACAAGGCCCCCAAACAAGGCACATTTCTGTGGCAAGTTGATGGTGGCTGCAGGATGAAGTCTACTATGGTGTCCATGTGAAGGTGAAGGCGGGGGCCATGAATGGTGGCTGCAGTGGGGAGGATGGTAGGGTCTGTCCTGCCCAAAACACTCACCCTGAAGATGCGTGGTAGATCCCTGGATTGGGCATGGATAACGTCGGAGGCCAGGACAGGGATGGCAGAAAACTGGGGATCCCTAGGAGGTGCAGGGGACAGTCAGAGGTGGTACTGTCTCTGACTTCCCTTCTCACCCCATGGTCACTTGCCCCATGTCCCTGCCCATACCCACCTCAGGTCCAAGGCTTGCAGGAGGGCAGCACTTGCTGGGCTGGCTCGAGGGTCAGGGGCATCAAATAGCAGTAGGCGTGAGTCACTGAGGGCAGCATATACCCGCTGCCAGCCCCGCCGGACACCGGATGGCCGTGGCACCTGGGGAAGGCAGGCATGGGAGGGCTGCCCAGGCCTTCAGCTCCCCTGGCTCCCCGCCCCACTCCCTAGCCCCCACTCACCGACAGGAAGCCCTCATAGGCAGTGCCTGTGCCTGTTTCAGGGTGTACTCCCAGGGCCGTGTGGAGGAGGTCAGGGGGCACAGGGCAGGGCGGGGCCTGAGGGGCACAGGTTGAGTGACAGAAGAAACCGCAGGCTGCAGGGAAAACAGAGAAGTTGAATGGTATGACTGAGCCAGGATCTGAGCCTGCCCAGCCCCACTTCCCTAGAGGCCACAGTGGTGCCTGAGCTGTTACCAACTGCCCACAAGTGGGGAAAAAACCCAAGAGGGAGAAATTAGTCCAGGAGGCACCAGTGGCCCTGGGGAGGAACAACCTAGGGATGCCAGGGTCACATGTGGGGGCTGTGGCTGGAACACAGGAAGAAGTTGTATGTGGTGGGAGGGTTCTCACCATCACAGCCCAGGCCTTGGCGGCCCAGGCCCAGCATCAGCGAGGTGCAGCGGAGACACTTGGTGGGGGATGGGAAACTCCGGGGGCGCAGCGTGTGTGAGCTGGGCTGTGGTGGGGTACATGCCATCACCCGCGTGGGCAAGGTCAGGCAGGCAAGGGGCTGTGTCAGGCAGCTGCCACCTCTGAGCCCCAGCAAGTCTACAGAAGCAAACTCACTGCTTGATGCCATTGCTACCCCCAACTTGGGCTGCCAGTCATGGTGCCCATGGAGGGCCCCACCAGGTCCACGGGCACCAGCACAATGGCTCGGTGCTCCCTCCCTATTCCGCCCCTCAGCACTGACCTTAGCAGGGGGGCCTTCTGCAGGGGTGGCAGTAACAGCAGGCACCCAGGGGAACGTGGCCTGCAGGAGAGCATAGGAGCAGATGAGAAGGGGGGGGGTTGCAGGGCACCCAGCCCACACCTCCGGGGCTCCTGCCCATGCTCACCCCCCTGCGCAGGCTACGGCGGCCCTCTGGCCTCAGCTCTGGCTCTATCCCAGGCTTTGGGGTTTCTCCTAAGATGCCAGAGTCCTTAGCAGAATCCTTCTGGAGACAACAGAAGAAGGGATAAAGTGAAGGCACCTGTGCCTCTCCCCATGACTCTTCCCCAGCCAACCCCTTCACCTGGCTCTTACTTCTGTGCTCCGGAAGGACAGGAAGGGGATGAGGGAGTTGGAGGGCTTGGTGTCTGCAAACAGAAAGCATGGGTCACTCAAGGCGAGGTCCCTGGCCTGAAGAACCAAGAATAGCAGGGGCCTCAGTTCCACCCTCAGTGAAGAACATGGAAGTCACCACAAGCTCTCGAGTCAGGGGAGCCTGGCACACAGCAGGTGCTCAATAAATGAAGGGGAACAAATGCCAAGGCATAGTCAGAGCAAAGCTGGAGTGGAACACCTGCTCTGGTTAGTGGGAGCACCAGCCACTCACCCCCTGGCCCACGGGCCCGTAGCTCCTCCCGTAGCATGGCCAGCTCCTGCTGCAGGGTCTGGTTCTGCTTCTCAGCCTCTTCCAGGCGCCTGGGGGGGAAGGGGACAAAGGCTCACCACAGGTCTCTGCATGGAACCCAGGCCCGTGGCATATGCCTCCTCCGGCCTCACCGCTCAGCCTGCAGCTGGGCTTCCTGCACCTGCGTCAGCCGTTCTTGTAGCCCCTGCTTGGCTCGGATCTCTGCATCCAGCGCTGACTGCAGCTCCAACCGTGCTGAGGCCTCCATCTTCTGCAGACGCCGCACCTTCCACTGGTGGTCCTAGTGGCCATGGGGCGCACCCATAAGATGCCCTCTGGGCCTGACTGCTTGGAAACTCTCTCCTACTAATGTATGCTCCTGCCCATGCCACTCAGCTGGGCCCAGTCTTGGCTCTGCCAGCCCCCTACTACCACCCAGGGTAAATCAGAGGCTCACCAGAGGCCGGGTGGTGATCATCTGGGTGCCCACATTCCGTAAGGACTCCAGCTCCTCAGCCATCTTGGTGGCCAGGGCCTGCAAGTAGCCTCGAGAGACCTTCTCATCATTCACCCTGATTGGGAAGGAGCTCAGGGTCAAGAGCCAGGCATGCAGACTCACCCAGGGGACCTCCCTAGCCCGGCAGCACCCACCAGCTGAGGATGTCTGCGATCTGGGCCTCCCAGTTGCTCTCGGTCTCCCGCCGCTCACCCTCCAGCCGCTTCTTGGTCTGCAGCTCCTGCTCTAGCTCCTCAGCCAGCTGGGGGCCAGGTGAAAGGTGAGCTCAGTCCCCAGGTGGCCCTGTGGCCAGGCCATCTGCCAGGCCCCTAAGGTCTGGTAGGCTCCCCTCAGATACCCCATCACCTTGAGCCCTATCTCTGCCTTCACCCTTCTCACCTGCGCCAGCCAGCCAGGACCCTGGCAGCCCTGTCCCCAGCCCTGCCCATCTGTCACCAGCGTTCTGCCACCCACCCTGCTCACCCGCTCCTGCTCCCGGCTCAGCCTCTGGTTTTCCTCACGCAGCTGGCACAGTGCCTCCTCCTTCCCGCTGGACCTGGGAAGCAGAAAGCCAGGGCTATGGCAGTAATGGTGGCTGTACAGACCCACCAATCCAGCCCCATCCTGCCAGCCCTGCTGTCTACTCACCCACAGCTGCCAGCCTGTTTCAGTTGTTCCCGAAGGGCAGCCACCTCCTTGAGGAGCTGGACCTCGTGAGGGCCCCCTTCAGATGGTCCAGTGCCATTGGTCTCAGTGGCCATGTGGATGGTCTTGAGGATGTGCAGAGGAGTCAGGGCAGGACCCAACAAACCACCCCATGCAAGGACAGAGGCCCAGCCCTGGGGACTTCAGGGGATCAGGCTGAAGGGGACACCTCCTTCCTAGGAGTGAGACCTCACTACCTTGGCCTGAGAGGACTCCTTCTCAAGGCTTTGCTTGTGTTGTCCCCGGAGCCTTGCCACCTCTTGGCTCAGGGCAGCCACCTGGGTTTCCAGCTGTGACAGGGTATAGAGGTGGGCCAGTGTGACTTTGCCCACCTCAACTCCTCTGCTCCACCTTGCCACAGACCTGCAGAATCTGACTGCCACAGTGGGCTCCCAGATGCTCCTTTCCTACCACAATGTCCTGGGTCAGTCTCTACCAACCACATGGGAGGAGCAAAGGCACATGGTGTCTGCAGCACTGTGGGCTCCCCAGGCCTCCTCCCATGCTAGGCATCACTGCTACTGGGCTCAGCTGTTCTCCCCTCCCCTTCCACTGCTACCACCTACCTCCCTCCTGGCATCCCAGACTTCCTCCAGCTGGGAGCTCAGGGTCTGGGTCTGGCTGGCTGTGGCTGCCTCTTTCTCCTGGGCCTCCTGAAGCCTCAACAGCAGCTCCTCCTGCAGACTCTGGGCTCGGCACAGCTCTTGTGCCTGTGCCTGCAGCCCTGCCCGAGCCTCAGCCAGCTCCTAGGCATTCAGGGTGCAGAGGACAAGGCGTGGTCAGTCTCTATGGTATGAAGCCCTGGCCACCTGCCTGCTTTACCTGGGGAGCTGGCTCTTACCTGCTGGAGCTGGTCCTTCTCCTGCTGTAGGTCACTGACTTGGCCTGGGCTGTCAACAGAGGACTCACCCATCTGAGACAAGGAGGCCTTGCTGTCCCTCAGCATCTCTGCCAGGAAAAGTCACTGAGTCCCAGGCATGATGACCACCCTGTCTCAGCTGGGTCCTCTACACGCAGCATCTCACAAAACCCTTCCCTTCACAGGATCACGGAGAACATGCACAGGGGGGACAGCACTGGGATCAGGGGGAACTTGGCATGGGCTATGCCAGAATGGGGAGGGTTACCTGCTAGCTTTCCTCTCAGGGTCTCCACTTCCTTCTGCAGCCGTGCCAGCTCCTGGTGGTCTGAGGGCCCATGGGTGAGTAGCCAGGCCTAGAACAGCAGCCTCACAGCTTCCCCACACAGCCCTGCCCCAGCTGCCCTCGTACCTTGGTGCTCCCAGCTCAGCTCCACCTTCTCCTCTTCCAAACAGTGGGACTTTCGCTCCCAGGAAGCTGCTAGCTCAGAGCTGCTCTCAGCACTGGGGCTGGGGGAAGGCAGGAGTAACATAAGTTGGAAGAAACTCACCCCACAAAGCCTTATCTATCCTCCTGTACCCTACCATTCATTCATTCAGGATCCCACCTCCACTCCACCCCAGCTCCTGACCTAGGGCTGGACTCTGAGCCAGGAACAGAAACAGACCAATCCAGACTCTGCCTTCAGGACAGCCTGGGTCATCCTGGCCTCATAAACTATGACCTTGGAGAGTCACCAAAAATGTCTGAGGTTCAGTTTCCTTGCAGGATAATGGAAGTTATAACAGGGCCTCATCCAAGGCAGGTTAAGAGGCCTGGATTAGGCTCTGGGCCTAATGCAGTGGGCCCTAGATGAGGGCTACTCAGAGCCCTCGCCTATCTCAGCACTCCTGCCCAGACCCTTGCTTCCACCTCCAGGTGGCCACACAAATAGGACTAGGTAATCTTTCTGCACTTTTTACAGAGTCACAAACTGAGGCTTAGGGCAATAGAAGACCTTTATACTCCAAGTCCAGGGACTTTGAAATAGCAGTTCAGGGTGCTGTGAGGGCCCCATGCTGGGATATGGCCCAGAGTACAGCCATGGCTTCTCCTGAATACTGATAGTACAGAGATGCTAGGAAACCCTTCTATCCCCTTTCCTGGGGTCCTGATGGGCTACACCCAGAGTAATCCAGCTTGGTTTCTATCTATTAAAAAAATTCTTCCCACACAAAAGGACAAGTGAAATAAGGCCCAGCAGGCATGAGAGCTAGACTTACCAGCCAGAGGTATAGGTGAAGCCTATGAATGGCAAGTGGTGACCGGAGAAGGAGCCGTGGGAGGGTGGTGGCAGGGTATCCTGCAGAAGGAAGGAAAGAAAGTCAAAGCCAAGTAGGCACAGCTGCAGAATGAGGCTCAAGAAACAGGCTGAGGCAGGAGGCTCAGTGCAAGTTTGAGGCTGCCCTGAACTACATAGCAAGACCCTGTCTCCAAAAAAATAATCCCCTGGTGAGCAGCCCAACAGCTACCTTCTTTTTTTGGGTGGGGGTGGGGGGATTTGTCTTTTTGAGATAGGGTTTCTCTATGCAGTTCAGGCTGGCCTTGAGCTCAGTTTGTAGCCTAGGCTGGCCTCAAACTCGCAAAGATTCTCCTGCCTCAGCCTCCCAAGTGCTGGGATTACAGGTGTGAGCCACCACATCCAGCTAACAGCTACCTTCTTACTCAGGTATGACACCAGGACAATATAGCCTCTACCAAAAACTACAACTCCCATGAGTCCTTGAGAGTATGGTCTTCCAGGGACTGCTGGGAATTCTCTCCCATATGTGAATTCTGGTTAATAGGATGACTCCAAGGGTCAAAGGGTCTTCACTTGGTACAACCTGCTCAGTGTAAGTCAACTGACACAGGTGAACCACAATTCTCATGAGTACCTAGGGTTTAAAGGCCTCACCCCAGCCTATCAACTGCTCTAGAGACTTCTGGAGGTTCCTAAAGCCCACAAAGAGCAGGGCAACACCTTCCTACAGTGGCATCTGCCACTCACAGGATGGTTGAGGGTGTCATCATCAACATCGAAGTTGGAGGTGTCCACAGGTCCTTGAAGCTCAGGGATGTAGGGGGCAGTGGTGGACGCCAGCTGCTCCCAGTCTATACCCTCAAAGAAGGGATGGTTCCGGAAGTCATCCAGCCCGCCACGGCCCAGCCGCTCCTCTTGGCGGCACAGCAGCTGGCGGATCAGGTCCTGGGCACTGGCTGGCACATCAGGCACGTCAGAGGGGAACTGCAAATGGTCCTGAGGGCCAGTGAAGGAAGCATGTGATCAGCCAGGGGCCCGCCCTGACGTGCTAACACCTCTCACCATATAGACATGACAGTCCCGCTGCCCTCCTGAGAACCACAGAGCTGGTGGCCGGACCTCGTGGTTCATGATCTTGCCGTAGGTTTCCACCAGAGATTCTGCGTAGAAGGGTGTTTCCCCAAAGAGCAGCTCGTAGGCGCAGACTCCCAGCGACCACCAGTCACACTGTGGGCCGTAGTGGCCCTTACCCTCCTCCATGGCCTGCAGGATCTCGGGGGAGATGTAGTCTGGTGTCCCTACTGCCACCGATGAATCCACCTGTGGGCGGAGGTGTTGTAGTCAAGCCTGGCACCTCCACTCCCCAGGGGCTGGACTGTGCTGGTGCTGCTTCCTGGGGTCAGACACACCCCCTCTGCTAGCCTGGTGCCCCTCATCTCTTTGAAAACTTGGCTTGGTACCCATTCTAGGTCCCTGGTTCCCATTCTAGGTGAGGTACTCACCATGCCACTGTTGTTGAGTCGCAGACAGGAGCCAAAGTCAGCCAGGCGGATGTGCCCATTCATGTCCAGCAGGATGTTGTCTGGCTTGACGTCCCTAGGGGAGGGCAGGGAGGTGAGGGGGCTCAAGCCTGCATGTGGATGTGTGTATAGGCACATGTCCAACAGTGCATGTTAGCGCATGCCTGTAATAGTACTCCAGAGGCTGTGGCAGGAGGATTGCTGCAAGTTCGAGGCCAGCCTTGGCTACAAGGCAAAACCATGTCTCAAAATAAAGGCATATTCCTAGGTGTACCCCTGCATCTGTTCTCAGGAGCCCCTGTGTGCACACGTGAGACATGCACGTGCATGAGTGTAACAGGGAGAGCAGGCTGGTAGCCAGGAGAAAGGAGGAGGCTAGACTGGTGGAGAGGATCCATAAAGATGACCCTAGGGGTTGAGCCAGGGATGTAGCACCTGCCTGGCAAGTACAAGGCCCTGAGTTTGATTCCTGGTACCAAAAAAGAAAATAGAAAAAAAACTGATCCTAGGGACTACAGAGTGTGTCACAGGGGACACAGGAGTTAGATTTTGCCCATACAGACCTTGCTCCAATTGGCTGGGCTGTTCTACGCAAAAGGCTTACCTGTGCTAAGTTCTGATTTTCTCATCTGTCAAATGGGTACACTGGCAGCCCTTACCACCTGGGGTCTTTTGGAAGGAGGGGTCAGAGAAGCACAAAAATGAGCTCCTTGCATGGGGGTGAGCATATGGCGAGTCCTCAGCCAACAGCTGTGTCCAGAGCAGTCAGCTGGGGTCAGCCAGGCAGCAGAGGTTTTGAAGGCCCACCTGTGGACATAGCCCAGCTGGTGCAGTGAGTCGATGGCCAGCACCATCTCAGCCAGGTAGAACTGGGCCAGCTCAGGGGGGAGACGGTCCTCAAAGCGGCTCAGCAGTGTGAGGAGATCCCCGCCAGCATAGTAGTCCATCACCAGGTACTAAAGGGCAGTGAACAGGAACAAGAATCAGACTGGGGGAAAGGAGCACCTGCCCCCCTCAAAGTGATCCTGTAGGGCCCTGGGAAAGAGTGTGTGTGTGGTTCCCCAACAGCTCTGGGGTGGCCAGCTTCTAGCCACAGCTCAAACAAGAGATACCAGGCCCAGCAGTTGGTGGGAAGTGGGGACGTGTAAATCCCAGTAGAATCCAGTGCCCCTGCCCCCAAGGGCCTTCTCCTTTGATCCAGACAAGCTTCTCCCCACCCTGCAGAATGCCCTCACCAGATATTCCTCATCTTGGAAAGCATAGTGCAACGTGGTCACCCAACGGCTGTCCCCCTTCACCAGCACATCTCGCTCCTCCCGGAAACAGGCCGTCTGCAATAGATTTGAAGGAGTGGGGCAGATAGGGTGAGAGCCTGGAAACCCCTGGCCAGATCAGAGGATGAGGACTCCTAAACTTATGGACTCAGATGGAGGGTGCAGTACTGCTCTGTTCCAGGCTGGTCTTGGGTGAGCTTGAGCCCATACTTTATAGCTCTCGGCCTTAGCATTACCATAAAGAAAATGGGAACAACCTTGATTACTCTTGTGAGGAAGGGCTAGGAGATGGGCGACTGCTAAGGGTGGCCTTCTTTGTTTGCGTCCTGTATACCCTGATGTGTTTTTTTTTTTTTTTAAATCGGTACCGAAGATCAAACTCATGACCACGTGCTTGTAAGGCAGGTGCTTATGCCGCTGAGCTAAATCCCCAGCCCTACCCTGATGTCTTTTACACCTAACTTAGCAGCGCCCCATCCCCACCCCACGTGCCAGATGCCCAAGTCCCACCAGAACCCACACTGACCTCAGCCCTCTTCAGCATCTCCCATTTATGCAGCATTTTCATGGCAAAAATCTGCCCACTGTCTCTCTGTCTCACCACGGCGACCTGAGGCCACATTAGGACTGTTGTCAGCTCAAGCTGGGCGCTATCCTCTTCCTTTATACCTGCCCCAGATCCTTTGCTCACCTCCCCGAAGGCCCCTCGGCCGATCACCTTCAAGATCTCAAAGTCATCTCTCTGCAGGCGCAGCTCTTTCACCTTTGTTACGAAGGGGGTGGCTAAGGGGACAGAGTTGGGGCTCAGAGCACTCAAGCGAGGGCCCCAACTCCCTCTCTCACCTTAGGAAAGCCAGGAACTGCAAAACAGGCAGGCCTCCCCACAGATGGGCTGGCAAAAGGGCCAAGCAGAGGTGGAGCCCATTTGGGCTATGACATGGAAGTGTGGAAAGTGAGGCTTCTGGCCCCCTAGCTCTTTAGACCTCTGTCTCCAGACTCCATGCAGTCTCCACCACAGGGGCTGATGGGACTTGTAGTTCTCCCCAGCCTGGGGCTTGATCCCTGCTAGCCAGGTCACCCTGGGGAAGCCAAGAATACCATTTCCACCCCCAACCTCCCACCTCACAGTTCTTAGCCCCTAACAGGACCAAGCCAGGGCCTGTCTTGGGAAACTGGATGGGTGACATTCCTTGTCCCCAGAGAGGCTGTCCACAAGGAGTGTGGGCCTGGGTCCTAGGACCCTATAGGTGCAGAGATACCTGCCTGGAGGTGAGGCCTGGGGCGCCCCTGAAGACAGGGAGGACACTGGTCCTGTAAGGCCCTGGGAGACAAGCTTTGTGCTCCCCAGGTGGGGCCCCTGGTCTGAAGGCACCAATACCAGCCTGCCTGGCTGCTCATAAGACTAAAACAGAGCCAAAAGCCTTTACCTGGTGCCTGATGCCAGCACCTGCCAGGGTGAGCACTCAGGATCCCCTCCAGGCCTGACAACCCCGGCACTCAAAGCCCTGCCTCTCTCCTTGTGCCTGGCCAAGAGCCTCCTCTTGTGTCACAGTCTCTGAAACCTCCATGAAGGGCATCTCCAGCCACTCCCTGGACCTGCCCACATCTAGAGTAGTCACAGGCCAGGGGGGAAGGAATTAAGTCGTGGGGACAGAGAGGGGCAGAAATGGTCAGTGAGGACTGGAGGGAGCTATGGTCTGGCACCCTGCCTCAGTTTCCCCTGCCAAGAGGTAAACTCCCTTTCGGTTGGGCGGGCCTGTGGGTAGGACGAAGAGCTGCTCCACAGGTTTATCAGGCAGAACCCCCGCTGCGGGGGTGGTGTGGAAACCTCATTGCAGATATTAATTGTTTATTTCCCAGGTCTGAGTATGAAGTGGGGGAGGAGCAACCCCACAGGCATCCAGGGAGAAACTGAGGCCAGGGCAGTGACCCACTAGCCAGGTGGGTCAAGACCCTGGGCTCAGAACCAGGAGGATCCAGGGCCCCGTGATAGGATGCCCAGGCCCCCTGCCTCGCCATAGGGGATAGTGGCTCTGGGAATGAGCAGGGACAAGTTGGGGCAGGAGAGGAGTGAGTCACGCCCTAAGAGTTACCTCAGGAGATGTCAACACACAGCCCCAACACAGGTCCCAGGCAGAGGTGCCAGAGGCAGGCAGGGAGTAGTACACACGTGTGTGCAAACACTCACATGGGCAAGGACATTACGGGGAGTGAGGGGTGACAACACAGACATACACGCATAACACCCAGGAATCTCAAGAAGATGGGCAGGCAGTAAGGGCAGGACCTATGCCTGCCCTCATCCCAGGGTTAGGTGCCAATCTGCCAGCCAGTATCCATGGCTGACTCCCAACCGTGCCAGGCTAACCCTTGGGCCTGCCCACAGCTCAGCAGCGCCAGGAACACCAGTTGCCCACTGGGCAAACAACCCATCTCTTCCCAACCTCCAGGCCAGATACCTGTGTCCTTCCTTCATGGCCCAGCCAGGTGTGACCAGGGAAGCTTCGGGCTGGCGCCAGTGCCCATACTGGGTTCAGGGTCACCCCAGGCCAGCCACTCCCAGCAACTGAGATGAGTCAACCAGGAAAGGGTACAGACCCACCTCCAGCCAGGACCCCTCCCTGGCCCTGTCAGGAAGCCACGCCAGCAGCTTACACAAAAGGGCTGAGGTTGACTCCGGGTCGGGGCTGGGGTGTACTCATATGCAGGGTATGGGGCTGTCTGCAAAAGGCAGTACCTACCGCAGCAGAGCTGGAGGGGTGGAATGGCCTGCAGACGGGCACTGCGAGCTCCCTTTGACTTTTCTCTGTGTCAGGAAGGACTGAGGGAATTTGCCTCTGTGTGACATGCAGGGGGTCTGTGTGTGTGTTCTGCAAGGGCTCGAGACGTGACCTGTGACTGGGAAACCCTGTACATGACATTGTGGAGGTGTGTACTGGACACACACACATCTGGGATCTACACCTGGGAGTAAGTTTACGTGTGTCTGTGGGTATCGTTTATATGTGCCAGGGTTCTGGGAGTGGGAAAGGGCGTGCATGAGAGAAGTGTGCAAGTGGGTGCGCGGGCCGTGGGATCGGGCGGCAGGTGCGAGTCCAAAGTGAAGGGAGGAGTTTCTGGGAGTGCCGAGTCCCCGCGGGAGGCTGTGAGAAGACCGAGCGCGCAGGGGTCCGGGCGCCGTGTCCCTAACTCCCACCCCCGGTCCACCAGGGTCACTTACCCCAGCTCAGGAACTGCGCCACATTGCGCTCCCGGCGCAGGGGGGCGCTGCTGAGCTCGTGGTGCAGTCCCAAGAGCAGATCGAGGAGGCCGTCGAGCCCCGGGCCGCCGCCGGCCTCGCCCCGACTCAGCTGCTCCAGAGCGCGAAGCCGCTGCTCCATGGCTGCACCCGAGTCCTGCGCCGGGGCTAGAGCTGGGCCGCCCGCATGTCTGCCAGTAAGTCCGTCCGTCCGTCGGTTCGTCCGTCGGGCCGAAGCTTAATCCGCACAACCTCCCCACACTGTCCCGCCCTCCCCGCTGTCACCTTCCTCCGCCACCGCCCGCGCGCGCTCACCTGGGCGCCGCGCCCCGCCCTCTGCCCTCCACCCCGCCCCCCGACGGACGGGCAGGTGCGCTCTGGCCAATGGGAGCTGCGACTGAAGGAAGGTGGGAGGGCGTATGCCGCGTGGGGGCGTGGTCAACCCTGGCCAGGAAGTGGGGGGGCGGGCCTCGGGGAGGCGGGACTGGGGTCGCGAAGACCCGCCCGGATCCTGGGGTGGCGCCTGCCCCCGCCCCAGTCCCCTGGGCACACCTTCGGGACCCTAATCTAGGTGAAGCGCGCGTCGCGCACTACTTCCCTGCCGTCCCGAGCTGCGGCCCCTTTTCCTTTGGCTCTGGGAGAGGGCTAGGGACGACCAGTGTCCCGAAGCCGGAAGGGAGTTACGGGTTTGTCTGCCGCGCTGGACAAAACTCACCCTACTCACCACTGGTCTGGCCAGAGTTGCTGCTATGACTCTATATTGTTACAGCTGACCTGGGAGAAAAGGAGGTGGGGGTAGGGCCAGTCCCACCCGTTTGGCAGATGGGCACACTGAGGCCTGGCAGGACAAAGGTGAATCGAAGGGTGAGGGTACTCCAAAGGTAGACCCTCTGCTTCTACCAAGGCCTTTTCAGCACTGCAGGAGCAGGGCCAGCGGCGCGACTTGGAATGTGCAGGGTCTGAGAGGCCGGCCAAGGGCGGCTGGGGTAGGGATGACTCCATTCCTGGATATTTTTGATTTCTGCCCAGCTGTGTGCAGCTGGGCTGGACGTGACGCCGGGATTGTGGGTCCATCCAAGAAGAGAAATTAAAAGGAGGGGACAATAGTGACGTTAGACAACACACATTCTTTCAGTAACCTCTTGGGGGTTTTCTTTCCCTCTGAGATGGAGAACGTGAGCCAGGACAGGGTCACAATCCCTGTGTGCAAGGAGGGGGCGTTCTGTGAACGTTTGCAGAGCGAAACGGACACCCCAGCAGCAAACAGGGCTTTTTTCTGCACTACTATCTCGGTCTCCGCAGCAAATCTGTCCTGTGGGCTCCCCAGGGCTGGGGATCTAGGACAGAGAGAAGCAGTCGAGTTGTTTCCCAAGTCCTTCAGGCCAGGAGGGGAGCTAGGGTTCAAGCTCAAATCTGAGGATCCTTGTCTCTGCCTTTGGTTTGGAGAAGTGGGCGAGCAGGGCTTTGGAAGGTTTGATCCAGGCCTCCCGAGTTTTATCTGGGCCATTCTGAGCCCTCCTGGTGCAGCCGGCAGAAGCTGGGCCACGGGAAGTAAGAAGAGGCCGCAGGGAGGCGCCAGAGACCAGCAGAGAAACAGGCTGCTGAGGACTCTGAAAAAGACCTGGTGAGGAGCTGGGCAGGAGAATGTCACCCCCACCCCCACCCAGGACACCTTGGTCCTCTCCTCAACCCACCACAGCCCCATGGTCAGCAGTCAAGGGCCAGCTGGCAAGGCCACAGGTCACTGTGTAATTTGGGGTAACCTTAACTTTCTGCTGCTGAATTTTCTAAAAAATCCATTCCTTATCAGACTCCCCCTACTACACCAAAGGGGAAACTGAGCCCCAAGAGCTAGAGTGATCTGGGGTGGGCTTGGATTAGCACTAAACACTTGCGCCTCTCTGCACTCAGTTCGTTTTGCTCTTAGGCCAGCTCTGTTGTGTTTTTTGCAAGCCTTAGTTTCCTTGCCTGTTAAAGGGGTCCAATCCCCCTGCTATCACGCTTGTGTAGCTCCAATGTTAGAAAGCCTTTAAAGGTCCAGTATCAGCCTGACCCTGTTCCAACCTGAACAGCAAGCTGGTAGGCCTCCCGCACTGACAGTGCTTGGCACATCTGTTCTTTGACCCTATGCATATTGGACCCCAGGGCTCCAGAACCCCGCTCAGCAAATGTTAGAGGATAAAAACTTATCTCAGAGCCTTGGGCCCAGCCAGTCTAAGAAGTGGGCCGCTGTCCTGTCCTGTCCTTCCCATGGTGTCCACATTTGAATGCCTCTTGTCCAGGCACACTACTTCCCAGAGGCTCAGCCAGGTCTGTGAGAGGCAGCCGCCACTCCCCACTCCAGTACCAATAGTGGAGGTGCTGGGCCCCAGCCCTGCCCTCCCCTGGGGAAGAGGTCGTGGTGACATCACCTGACATGCTTAGGTACTTCTTGGCATTTTAAAGTTACTTCAGGCCTCTTATCACAAGAGACCTGCCTGCCGTGAGCATTATAATTACCCTCCCTTCCCCCTTGGCAGACGATCTGCTGAGGCCAGGAGGCAGTGCCGTGCCAGCTCTAGGCTCCTGCCCTTTGGCCGCACCCTACCTGTGTCTGGGGGCCGGGCCTAAATCAGCGCCTGTCAGCAGTGCCTTGGCTGGAGAGAATGAAGCTGTCAATTCCGTGACCCTGGCTCAGGAGAAATAGGGACACAGAAGTTGCCAAAAAAGGAGAGAAACCCAGACAGGAGGAAGGGGGCTGGGACAAGGAGAGACCCTGAGAGCCGTGGGGTAAGCCCCAGTGGACCCCCAGTATCAGCCTGTGGGTCAGGTGGAGGCTCGGGGCTGTCTAACCTCCACTGTCACATCTTAGGCCTCCTGAGTCCAGGTCTCTGGGTTCCTTCCCAAGGTGCAGAGCTTCAGCCTCCGGCAAGAAGCGGGGTTTCCCAGCCCGGGCCTCAGAAACAGCTGAGAGCTGTTGCGCCTGCCCTGGCCAGTTGAAGTGCAGTTCTCTCTCCCATCCCAGGGAGTCAAGGAGCAGGAGGCTGGTAGGGGGCCTGCAGCCTTGCCCACTGTGCCCCAGATGTGTGCCTTCGACCAAGTTCCTTCCCTGCTTTCTGTTTTTTTGGTGTGCAGAGATCTGAGGCTGGGCACAGTGGTACATGCCTGTGATCCCAGCACTTGGGAGGCTGAAGCAGAAGCTTACTGCAAATTCAAGGCCAGCTTGAGCTACAGTGAATTTGAGGCCAGCCTAGACTATGCAGCCAGACGCTGTCTCAAAACAAAACAAGAACTGCACCTGCTCAGATGTGGAAGACAATCGAGCTGTATAATGGCGCCCCACTGACCTTCCTGATTTCTCCTGGTGTGCGGGGAGATCAGGATTGGAGGCAGGAGAGCACAAGGCACCTGCCTTTGCTGCTTAGGCATCCAACTCTTGTTTAAAGGGCTTCTGGGGGCCCAGGGAAGGAGCAGATAGAGTTGGTCAGGTTGAAGAGCCCTGCTCCCCACCCTAGTCTTTGGCAGCTCCCCACATGCATTCCCTACTAGCCCTGCATGTCCGGGGTGTGTCCTTTGAAAGGTCCAAAGCTCCAACTGGGTGGACATATGGTGACTTCATCATCCTGGGTTTCCTTCCAAGCCCTTCCCTGCCATGTTCCAGCCCACCCTATGGGCTCCCACGCTGTGAGCTGCAGCCAAGCATGGTTTTGCAATTACCAGTCCCTGTGGACACACAGGAAGCAAGGCCCCAAGCCCCCTCTGCCACCACCCTTTGGCCCATGGGCGCCATTGAGTCTGCAGGCTGCTTCACGGAAGGGTGGGTTCTCCTGCTTTGTTCTGGGTGCTGGATGGGTGGGGTGTCACACTCCCTGTCCCCCTACCTGACCAGCCACCCCCAAGTGCTCAGCAAAGGAGGCCACTGAGGTAGATGTCTTTAGGCTCAGCCTCCAAAATGTGTTGGGGAGCAGGAACCAGGTTCCAGAGGTGGTGCTGGATGGCAGCAAGTCGGAGAGGCAGAATTCAAACCCAGGGCTGTGGGCACACAGCTGCCCTCCAGGTGCTTGTGAAGCTGCTGACGTATTTTACAGTGCTGGGGGGAGAACCTGCAGCCTCTCGCCTCATATGTGCTAGGCATGCACTCTGCCATTGGGCCACACCCCAGCCCCAAGGTGGCGACTTTGAACCAGAAGGCAGTAGTGGCCAGGAGTCTTTCCACCAGTTGACTGGCCTTGGGTCAGTCCTGTGACTCGTCCATCTGTGATAAGAACAAGGGCCCTGGGATAGACTTTTTAGTTCCTTGTGTTCTAAGGAGCAGAAGTAAAGTTCATTCTTAATGAGCAGGGACTCACATCAGAATACAAAGGGGCTGTGGGGGGGGGGGGTCTGGGGAGTCTGTCTCCAGGGCTCTGGGAACAGGCCCAGAGCCTCTGGCCTCTCCTCTAGCCCACCCAGCCTCTGCAGGAGTCTTCTCCCCTGGGAAGGGAGGCCGGGCCCCATTTCTATTCACATCCACTGGACCTTCCCACACCCCCAAGACAGCCCACAGAGGGTGTCAGACCCAAACCTGGCACAGGAGCCCTGGACAGCAGCAGGGAGGGGCAGTGACAAAGTTCCTGCTCTTCTGGGAGCCCCAGCTCAGCTGGCCCTTCTGAGCAGCCTCTAGGAGTTCACCCTGAATTGAGAGATAGGCCAGGGCTCCCCACAGGTGGGAGTACCCCAGTGAGGGCAGGCCACTCCCCTCATTCCCATTTTTTTTTCTTTTTCATTCATTCTGTAGAGCTCCTGGCTCTGTTTCCCAGGTGCTTTGTTGTTTTTTTTTTTTTTTTTTTTTTTTGTCTTTTTCGTTTTTATCGGTACCCTGCCTGCTTGTAAGGCAGGCGCTTATGCCGCTGAGCTAAATCCCCAGCCCCCTCCCAGGTGCTTTGACAGTGTAAGCAAGCCAGCTGGCTGCAGCCCCCTGCAAGCTGTCATTACTGCCCCAGGCTTTTGGGGTCCCAGGCAGAAGGGACAGCATTTAATCCTTTTTTTTTTTTTTTTTTTTGTCTTTTTCCTTTTTATCGGTACCGGGGAAGCATTTAATCTTGATTATGGGTTTTGCGGGGGGGGGGGTCTTTTTGAGACAGGGTCTCACTATGCAGCTCAGGCTGGTCTTGAACTTGCAACGATTCTCCCTTCAGCCTCCCGAGTGCTGGGATCACAGATATGCACCACCACACCCAGCTTGATTGTGGGTTTCTCATACCTGAGCATGGCTACACTTTGAGGGTGCTGAAAACTTGTTTTGGGCTTTTTTCAAGATAGGATCCTACTCTATTGTCCAGGCTGGGCTGGAATTCCTTATATAGCCCAGGGTGGCTCCAAACTTTCAATCCTGCCTCAGCCTCTTACTGTTGGCATTACAGGCATCACCAAACCTAGCTGGAAGATTGTTTTCATTCATTCATGCATGCATGCATGCATTCAGTGGTTGTGGGGACTGAACCCAGGGCTTTTGCATAGCTCTATCCCCAGCCCTTTAAAAAAATCTTTGAGGCAACTCATTTGGAACCCCTCCCGTCTCTTAGGAGCTAGCCCTATTTCATTCCCCTCAATAAATTTTCCTGTTAATAAATTCTGGGGGCAGGGTCTGTCCCTAAATTACTCTGTCTAGACTCATTTGCAGTTCTCCTGTCTCAGCCTCCCGGAGTCCTGGGATTATAGGTGTAGGCCACTATGCCCAGCATTCATCCTTCCTGTCTACCTACCTATCTATCTGAACAAGGTCTCATGGTGTAGCCCAGGCTGGCCTCAAACTCGAGATGCTCTTCCTACCTCAGTCTCCATGTTTTTCATTTTTAGTTTTGTTTTTTCAAGACAAGGTCTTATGAGCTGGAGATTTAGCTCAGTGCCATATGCACCTACCTGGTAAGCATAAGGTGGAGTTTGATCCCCGGAACCAAAAAAAAGACAAGGCCTTGTTATGTACTGTAATTCAGGCTGCCTCGAATTTTGTAGCCAAGACTCACTTGGAACTTGGAACAATTCTCCTGCCTTAGCCTCCCAAGTGCTGGATTTACAGGTGAGTGCCAACACATCCATTTTTTAAAATTTTTTTTTATTTTTTTTTTTTGTGAGACAGGGTCTATGTAGCATAGGCTGGCCTTGAACTCACAAGGTCCTTCGTCACCTCCCAAGTGCCGGCATTATAGGCATGCACCAGCACACTCGGCTGTTTTTCCTTTTAAAATGAGGAACAGTGGAAATCAGACTGCACTGGAATCTCCTTTGCCACCATTTGTTCATGGCCTCCCACCTTAGGCTCCTCTACAGTGACACAGGGAGAACACAGTCCCCTGGGTCTTGAGGTTCCCAGTGAACCCATAGGAGGCACCTGTGTGGCATAGGAGGGCTGTGACATCCTGGGAGTCAGTCACTGGCCATCGGGCCAGATGTGGGCAGTGGCTGGGCCCCCAGAGCACAGCACTGGGTCCTGGACACAGACACCAGTTCATACCCAGTCTCTATCACTTCGAGTTTGCACCTTTTTGGCCATGTCACTGTCACCCTTCCCTGTGACATCACCTGGCCCTGACAGACCCTTTTTTTTTTTTTTTTTTTTTTTTTGTCTTTTTCCTTTTTATCGGTACCCGGGATCGAACTCATGACTGCCTGCTTGCAAGGCAGGCGCTTATGCCGCTGAGCTAAACCTCCAGCCCCGACAGACCCCTTTCATACTGAGTGGATTTTGCTGCCAGGATCTACTTTGTGTCTGAGCTCTGCTTCTGTCTTCAAGCCCCTTGGGGCAAGCATGGAAGCAGCTGGCTCCGGAGAACAGGAGCCCTTGCTGACCAGATGCCCACCCTCCTGCTGCCTAGGGCCCTGTGGGTGCCCGCACATGGGCCTGAAGCCGGGTAGACCCGGAGGCCCATCCAGCCCTCCCAAGTGCTTCAGCTGTCTCGGAGAAACCACTCTTGCTCAGCCACACCACAAGGGAAGGGGGTTACAGTTTTTTTGGGATCTGGCTAACATTAACAGGAGGTGGCCGATGCTGTACAAGTGAGTGTGACCCTAAGGGGCGGCTACCCTGCCCTGAAGGCTTGCTGATCTGCCTTGCTGGCATCCTGGCCCCCAAATGCTCTACCAGCCCCCCCCCCCCCGCCGCCCCGGGCCTAAGAGGGAGGGATCTGAGCTCTTGGCCCTGGAATAGACAGCAGAGAAGAACCGGGGAATCAGCATCAGCACAGTTAAAACTTTCTTTAATGCCAGGAAAAGTCTAGTCTGTTACCTCCCACAAAGATGAGCGTGACCGAGCCCTGCCGCCCCAGCCAGCGTGTCTGGTGTGGATGCCCTCCATCCACCTTTTCCTAAGGCTGAGCATCCCTGTGGTGCAGGCAGGGCGTGGCAACTCCCCAGCGCCCTCTACTGCCCGGCACAGTGCCTGCCCTCTTAGGCTTATTGCTGGGGCGGGGGGTGGAAAAGTTGGTCTAAAGTCCTGTGCAGCCCCCCACCCCCCCATTTGCTCAGCAGACATGGGGGAAGGTAGGGACCAGGTTTTTGCCTGGTCCCCGCTGCCTGGAAAACTAGGCCCAGGCCAGAGTCAGTCTTCCTCTTATAAGCACCAAACCACACCCAGTCATAGGCAGCTGCCTGCCCACTCCAAGGTGGGAGCATCAGGTCTCATGGATCAAGTGAGGGCCACAGTTCAGACACTAATCAGGCACGAGCTGGGGCTAGGGAGCAAATCCAGGCTGAGGTATGCTATGCATGAACCCCACATTTAATGGCTCCTGGATGGAGCTGCCCACAGGCTGGCAAGTAGGGAAGGGAGGCAAAAGTCACAGCTTTGGAACAAGTAGCTGGAAGTTACTGGAAATGTGGTCAAGTATGGAAGATGACCCTATCCAGGAGACGACCTAGCTTATCTATTGCTCTGGGAAGACTTACTTGCTGTCCTCTCCACAGCCCTAAAAAGACTGGGGGTGGCTGGGCCTGCTGGGAGGGAAGTTGGGAGTTTGGGGTATGCAAGGCAAGGGCGGGGCGTGAGTTTGGGGAGCCCTGGCTGGAGAGGCACAGAACTGACTCACCCCAACCCAGGGCAGAGCTGGGTGAGGAAGGAACCTCCCCCATGAGGCCAGCCTTGGTGTGGAGAGAAGATAAACAGAAGGAACAGCCTGGGCTCCTGTCTACAAACAGTTCCAGGGGCAGCTGCCAGGAGGAGCCATTGGCCTACCTAAGATGGCTACAGCTGCCCACGCCGCCCTGCCAGGGACAGTGCACGGGAGGAAAGGCTGGGACAGGAGAGAGGCTGTGTTCGTGGGACTGTCCAACAGAGGAGGCGGCAAAAAAGTAGGCTGCCTCTAATGGTATATATTAAAAATATCCAGAGTCCTTGTGCATAAAATCCCATATTCACAGCTGAGCATACCCTTGCCTCCCCGGCTGGGCCCAGGCACTGCCTTAAAGAAAAGATGGCGCTTCTCCTTTTGAAGCTGAGGAAACAGCGCTCGGTCTTTATGGACCTTTAAAACTGGTGACCCTTCCCTCTCCCCAGCTGCTTCCTCCAGACCTGGTCTTCCTGGGCCGGCATGGAGATGCTGAATGGGTCACGTGGGTGGCCCTGGGAGGCCTGTCACTCATGCCTGCGCTTGGAGGGGGGGATGAGGTGTGGGGGCAGGTCGGCGGGCAGCTCGTGGCCCTCCAGCTTGACCTTGATGAGGTGGTTAGCCAAGGCAAACTCCTCATCATCCAGCAGCCCATCCTTGTCCACGTCAGCCAGCTTCCAGATCTTGCCCAGCACGGTGTTGGGCAGCTTGGACTTGACCATCTCCTTCTTGGCATTGGCGCCAGTGATCTTGCCGTTGACGGGGGACAGCGTGTAGAAGATCTCGTCGTAGGTGGGTTTGTCCTTGCCCACCACCCACTCGACATCGTCAATGCCCTCGCCTGCACCCTCGCCATAGCCATGCCCAAAGGGCCCATTCATGGTACCGTCGAAGGCGCCGCCTTTCACGGCCTGCGAGGGCATCTGAGACTCCTCCTGGCGCACCATGACCATCAGCCGTGCAATGTCGTTGGCCAACATGTCATCCACTGTGTCTAGCAGCTTGGGCTTTAGGGCCTGGAACTTGCTGAAGTCCTGGGTCTGCAGGAGCTCCTGAGGAGCGGGAGAAAGGGAGGTCAGGTGGCTGCTTCCCTACCCGCAGCCTACCCCACTTGTGCCCCATTCTTTCCCCAGGGCCTGGGATCATAAGAGTCCCTTTCTCGCAGGGCTGTAGCAAAGATTCATCCCCAGGACATGCAGAGCAGCAGACCCAGCCCTCCCCACGGCTGAGTCACCACATTCCCCTCCGCTCCCGTGTGGTGTCACAGCCTGGGTCAGAGATGATGTCACTGGGGGGAAGGTGACTAAGCCAGTGTTGTTGGGGAGGCCCACCCCACGGCCGGGATTCCCTTTGGAGTCAGCGCCCTGGGCCTTCCTCACTCGGGAGCCTGGGGCAGCGCCCATGGTTGTACCTGCATCTTTCGGAGGCTCGGGAAGTCGCCTGGGGAGATCTGATGCTCCCGCTCGATCTTCTGGTAGATCTCGCCCAGGTTGTTCACCAGCTCCTTCTTTTTGCTCTCCTTACCGAAGACGTTGGGCATCTCCTTCTTGAGGGAGCTGATGATGTAGGCGTGGACCTGGGGGACAGGGTGGGGTAGTGTCAGGGGCTTGCTCAGGATGTGGGTGGCAGCTGCTGCTAACTGCCTGAGCTCAGGAAGTACAAGGGCTGGGGTTAAGTTCAGGGCAGCTGCTGCCCACCCAGGAATCCACTGGCTGAAGAGTGGACACACGATTCTCACAAGAGGCTTACAGCTCACTGCCATGGGGAAGGAGAAAAGGAGAGGAAAGCACCCTTGAAACAGAAAATTGGAAGCCGGGTGTAATGGCAAAGACCTATAATCCCAGCACTCTGGGAGACTGAGGCAAGAGAGTCACAAATCCAAGCCCAGCCTGGACAACTTACTGAGATTCTCTCAAAAAAAAAAAATAAGAGAAGGGCTAAGAGGGTAGGGAATGTAGACAGCTGGGTGGGAAAGCACTGCATTCAATTCCCACCACCAAAAAAATTAAAAAGACAGGAAGAAAGAAACAAGACAACCACATCCTTTATGTGACTCACACCTTGATCTAGACTCAGCAAGGCGTAGTCTGCCAACAAGTGGCCACTTGCTGTGGGGCCATCTCTCCTCTTCTCGTCACCCTTACCTACGCCTCACGCCTCAGGTGAGGAGAATTTAGCCTCTATAGGGGATACTCAGAAGCCAGGCAGGGCACCAAGCACTGGGCCTGACCGGAACTCAGGGCTCCTGAAGGTGCTCCAGGTCCCTGCGCAGCTGATTCCCTGCAGGTCCACGAAGTCCCAAAGCTACAGATTCTGAGGGCTCAGATCTGTGCACAGTCAGCAGCTGGCTGGGGCTGTGTCCAGTTTACCTAAGCTTCCACACCTCAAGCAGACCCTTCATGTCTTCTCTGTGCCAGTCCTCAACCCCTCTGTCCTGCCAAGGGATGGCCAGCCAGGCTGCCGTCCTCTCCTGCACTGACACAGGACACCTCCACCTAGGGTTTCCCCAGGCTGCTGAGGTGGGTGGGCCACAGCCAGTCCCCCCTAAGCCCAGCAGAGCCCAGTGCAGGTCACCGATTCCTGGAAAAGGAAAAAGCCATGGAAAGGCAGATGTGGGAAGAGCCTGGGACCCTGGGGTTTTCCAGCAGTGTGAGTCAGTGTGTCCTTGGGCTGGACACTTCCACTCCATAGGGTGTGTGCGTGCGTCACAGATGGCGGGGCATGGGGGGTTCTCCGAAGCTACTCTAGGTCCTTCAGGGCTCACTCCTGGCTCCTCTCTCAGACCTGGCCCTACTAGCAGGAAGACCGCAGGGATCTAAAGGAGTGAGTTAGAAAAACTGCCCAGAGCAGATGTGGGCTGTGGGCAGGTGTGTGTGATACCCCAGCCCCAAGGGGCGCAGCCTCCCAAGGCTCAGCCAGGGCGGGAACCAGGCTGCTGGCCATGAGCCCTATGCTGGGGAAGGGGAGATCTGAATGGTCAAAGGATAAAGGGTCAGCCCTAAGCTGGCCCCAAGATAGCATGCAGGGCCTTGGGGTCCCAGGGCAAATGGCTGCAGGAAGTGCCCTCCTCAATCCCCTGTCCACTCAGGAGCCTGGGACACCCTGCCACTGGCCATAGACACAGCTATCTGTGGAGTTGGAACATCCACAAAGTGTGCACCCCTCCTCCTCTGTGAGCCCAGACAGCTGTGAACACTTTGCCCTTTGCAGTGAGTGGGTGACATATGGTATGCCCTAACCTGCCCGAGGCTGACAACGTGGTTCTCATGGCTGAGCCAGACCTGCCACAGGGGCAACCACTGCCAGAGTCGAGCTTTTGTTTTTAGAGAGGGGGGATCATCATTACGTTACCCAGGCTGACGATGAACTTCTGGACTCAAGGGATCCACCTGCCTCAGCCTCCCTAGTAACTGGGACCACAGGTATGTATTACTGTTGGGAGCCGCGGCCGACACCGGTCGCCTTACTTGGCGGACGTAGGGCCTGTGGGTGGGAGCGGAGCCTGAGCTAGATTGCCCCTCCCATCGAGTGAGTCAAGTTGGCGCCTGCTTCCTGCCCCCTGATTGCGCTGGCGACTTAAACAACCCGCTCTGTAAGATAGTCTGCCTAGCAACAGCTGATGTTAGCCAGTCAGCCCGCATCGCGCGCTTTGAACTGATTGGCTACTGTTGCCCTATAAAAGTGAATGCCTCTCCCGCCACGAGAGGAAGCACAGAAGAAAAGCACAGAGAGAGATAGAGAAAGTCCACCGGCGAGAAAGGGCTGGTGGCAGAGTGGAGGCCTCACGGGGCCCACGCGGAGACAAATAAAGGCAAGGTTGCACACCGCCAGACTTTGTCGTGTGTCTTTCCTGCTGGCCGGGAGCGACCCCGACATATTACCATCCCAGTTTAGACTCTGTTTTTCCAAACCAGTGCTAAGTGTCTGAGGGAACAGCTGGACCCCTCATTAAAGTGCAGATGTCTCAACGTGGCCGCTGCTCAATCATCCCCATGGTCTATGTCAAACCAGTGCAAAACAGCGGCCCAGCAGTGCTGGGCCCTCCAACCCCAGAACTCACGCAGCTCCTAAAGCCAGCCATCCCGAAGAACTGCCTTCAGTCCCTCTGCAGCACTGACCTTTGTTCCTAGTCCAGGCACCCACAGCTCTCATTCAAGCACCTACCAGGCACCAAGAGCCTTGTACTTTTGGACCACTGACAGCAGTTTACAAGGCCTGTGTGGGCCTCGATCGCTTCCCGAGGAGCAGCCCTAAGCACTCCCTGCTCTTTCTGGGCCTCTTCACCAGCTACTTCCTGCCCCAGCTTAAGCAGCAACAGCCAGGCCTCCCCAATTACCTGCCTCTGTAGGCCCTGGGTCTCCCCAGCAAAGACACAAACATTTAATATTTTATTTTCATTTGTGCCTTCTGCTTTCCCGCAGTGCTGGGGATGCTGGTCTGGGGTTCTGTGTGTCACTCTCCCCATGTCCTTAGTGTCCCACTCTGGAGGGGAAGTCAGAAGGCCCAGAGCAACAACCCACCACACCCCACTTCCGGGGCTGCTTCCGTGGTGACTTCCTGCTGGGGTTTCTACACTGCCCGCACTGTCCGCACACCCAGCTTTCCACCATGTGGTTGGTACAGCCCTCTCCACACAGGGAATGGCCACGCAGGGCTGGCTCTGCAGTGGCTGGCGGAAGGGGGCTTGGGTAAATCAGGCCCCAAGTGCCAGTCCCACACCCCCAGGCCTTGCCCTGTCCCATCTACCTTAGCAAGTCTGGCCCGCTTGATCAGGTCGTTGAGCTTCCTGAGGGCGGCATTTCGGGGAAGTGACTGGATGTCCTTGAAGAGGTCCTGTTCCTCGGCCTCGAACAGCTTCCGGTTGTCTGGGATGAGCAGCGGGTGGGACCAGAAGGAGCCAATGTAGACACGGACCACCTCAGGGGTGTTGATGATCTTGCCCAGGGACCACATGAGGGCCCCGTACACCCGCATCAGCTGCTGCGTCTCGATCTGGTCGGCCTTGTTCAGCACCACCCGGATCTTGTCCTCGTGGTTCTTGAGGGCCTTGATGACCTCTGAGAACTCATCGGAGATGTCCAGCTTGTGGGCGTCAAACAGCAGGATGATGCGGTCTACCCGCTCCGCAAACCACTCAAGGACAGCCGCGAAGTCGTACCCTGCGGGTAGGAGAGCTGTGAGCTTGGGCAGTGAGGGATTGGCTTCCACAGGCACAGAAGACACTCATTGGGCAGCACCCAGGCCAGGCAGGGCCATCGGGTCCTCCCCTTCCCTCCTTTTGTACAGCATGCTGGTGGGCTCGCCCAGCTGCCATGGGAAAGGAGTCACAAAACTCATACTGTGGCTAGGTGGGACAAGGGAGAGGTGCCTCAGAGGTGCTGCCAGCAGCCAGCTGTGCACCCTCAGGCAGCAGTGCTGGCTCTTATTTGCGTGCCAGGCTCCTTATTGTGCAAGAATCTCAGTTATTTCCTACCACAGGGGCTACCCGCTATAGCTCAGGAACCAAATCTGGACCCCATCTGTTTATGCAAATAAAGCTTTATTGAAACACAGTCGCTCACCTATTATGTCTTTGGCCACCTTAGCCAACAACAGCAGAGTTCAGCTGTTACTGCACAGACCTTGAGGTCTGCACAGCTGACGACACTGACTTTGACCTTTCCAGAAAAAGTCTGCTGGTTTTTCTTCTATAATCAACCCATCAAGTGCTACAAACCACTTTCCTTTTGTGGGTGTTAAGTACTTCACTAAAACAAAGTGGCTAAGCTAGATGACTCTAACCCTAAACCCTAGTCTATGCTGTTTCCCATCAATTAAGGCCCAATCAAAGTCAGCCAATGAAAGTCCCAAGCCAACGGCAATAGGAACTAACTGGAATTCCCCCATAATAAAACAACTACTTCGTTTTGGCTAGATCCAGGGCCTCCAATGTAAAACTGCATTCTAGCCTGGCATGGTGATGCACTCCTATAATTCCAGCACTTAGGAGGCTGAGGCAGGAAGATTGTTGCAAGTTCGAGTCCAGCCTGGGCTACAAAGTGAGCTCAAGGCCAGCCTGAACCACATAGCGAGACACTGTCTCAAAAAAACAAAAAAACAAACAAATAGCCCTGCATTTTCAGCCAGGCATGGTGGCGCACACCTGTGATTCCAGCACTCAGGAGGCTGAGGCACGAGGATCACTGCAAGGCCAACCTGGGCCTCATAGTAAGTGCAAGGCCAGCCTGGACTACATTAGCAAGACCCTATCTCAAAAAAATAAAACAAAACAAAATGACTGCATTTTCTACCTGGCAAAAGAAAAAAAAAGTGTATGTACCCATTATGGTTTTCCCCTGAGGCCTGGGATGCAGATGCAATGGTAGGAGCTGGTGTAACCATACTGGGGTTGCAGATGAAAATTGTGTGTTTAACATAGCCAGGGAATGTGATTTCTCTCATAAATGACCAGATATCTGGCTTAAATCCTGTGAAAACAATGGCCTATAATCTGGGGAGCTTGCATAACAGCCCCCAAGATGCCATTTCTTCTCTTGGTGAATCTGACAAGCTCCCTGGTCTTTGCGCTCAGTCTCCTTGCTCTTTTCCTGCTATGCGGAAGTGCTAGGTCACTCCAAATGTGCTTCCCAGACAGCAATCATGCTCCAGAGAACAGCAGCAAAGCTTTTCCAGATCTTTCCAGAAGCCACTGGAGGGAAGAGTCTGGGTACTGCTGAGCTCCCTCCTAGGACAGCTTGTTGCGGCTGTCGGACCACACGGGACTGACGTGCCTCCTCCTCCTGACTGTAGAGGACAGGAAGAGAACAAGGGCCACAGGTGCTGGTCCCAGGCAGGCCAGCCCTGGGGGGGGGGGGCGGAGGCGGGGGGTGGGGGGGACACACCCGCTGAGTGCTTCACACTCAGGAAGGGAGCACACACAAGGCGAGTCCCAGTCTGGCTGCCCCAGAGGCAGCCACTCCCAAGGTGCTAAGTAAAGCAGTCACCCCTCCCTGATGCCCTGCCCATCAGAGAGCAGGCCCACTGCCAGCCTGGGGTCAGGTATGCCTCCGAGCCAATACCTGAATCACAGGTGCCCAACCCTGACAGGAGACCGCTAGGGACCCAAAGCCAGGCTCCAGCTTGACTCTTAAGACTTTACATTCTTAACTTCTCAGCGATATTTGTCCATCTGTAAGACTCAAACAACTTTAGCATCGATGGCAGGGCTCCCAAGGCAGCTGGGCACTTAATCATTGGTCAGTAACCAGGAGTAACAGGTGTCGCGTGGCTGAGGTCGGAGGCCGAGCCCTGTGCCCCACACAGCTCACTAAAACATACGGAAAGCTCCAAACCCACCACTCCTGGGACTGAGCAAGGGCGGCCGCCCAAAGGTGTGACCTGTAGTCCTATCCGAACCCAGGGAGACATGGGCCGCCGTCTCAGAGTTGGGTGGGAGTCTGGCATTGTATCCCTAGTGGTCTCAGTCTGCGTTCTAGGGGCTCTGGTCTGCAATCTGGGTGCCCAGGGTCTGAGGCTTCCTGTGCCCTAAGCATGGGAGTGCCAAACAAGTGCCAGGTCACCTGCGCCAGCTGCCAGTCACCAATACAGGTTACGGCTCCAAGGTGCAAGGTCCCACAGTCACCCTGGCTCCAAAGGCAGGGCGGGGACACCCAAGGAATGAAATATCAGGCGAAAACCGGAAGGAGAAAGCCAATAGCATGGGGGAAGCTAGGACTGGCAGAAGTGGCTGCAGGCGTGCACCCCAGCTGACCTCGGGGCCTGGGGCTGGCTCTGGGATCCCAAGTCAGCACGGCAAAAGCGATGACTCAGGAACTAGCAGGGCTCTTCGCTCAGCAAAGGCGAGGCCCAGCCTTCCCCTGTCAGACTATTTATCCTGCGCTCACCACAGCTAAAACCATAATTCACACAGCTGGAGAGGTGGTGATGCCAGAACCAAGTTCCTGGGTACTGGGGCGCCCCAGTGCACTGTGCTTGCTGGTGTGTTGGCTTTGGCCTGGCAGTCAGAACAGCACCTGGGGAGCTGAGGTCAGGGCCCAAGCCCCACCCAGTAGGGGACCACAGAGAGGGAATGACAAAGAAGGAGAGAGAGGCCTCTCAGCCACCCTGCCCTCACTGAGACCACAAGCCCTGTTCCTGGCCAGCACCTAAGCTGGGGTCAAAGAAAAGGAAAGTCCATTTTTTGCAGGTGAATAAATTTCCTGTTTATGATGGAAAGTCCTCAAACTTTTCATGAGAGGGAGACACACTGGCTGGCCAAATACTCTCACAGGTCACCTCAAAGGTCACAGCACTCTGGCCTGGGCCATGTGGTCATAGGCTCCTTACTGCCCTCAGAGGCACCATATGGCCTGAGACCGAGTCAAGGCACCCTTGAGCACACTGGGTCTTTGCAGGTGACAGGCGAAGCTGGCAGGTGTGGCCACACAGCTGTCATTCAGCTTGGAGCTCAGAGAGGGTGAGAAGTGCAGATGTGGGGCGTCCAGCTGCCAAGGGCTGCTCCAGGCAACTGAGCTTCAGGCTCTGGGACCGGCCAGTGTCCAGGCAGCCACCCCTCCATGCAACAGCAGTCTGGCAGAGGGAACATCGGCCTGTGGGCTGGGGCGCTGTAAGCGAGCTCCAGCTGGACTGGGGTGGGAGGGGGGACAGGTGACAGACATCTTGATTCCTGCCAAGGACACAGAAATGTGGCTACTTCTGGTGAGGAGTCCTGAACCAGGATAAGCTCCAGCCCAGAAAGTCCTGGACTAGAAATGTGATGCTCTGTGGAACGAGCCCATCACAGGAGGACGACTGCACAGGGACAGGAAGTGGGCAGCCAGGGCAGAGGCTGGGCCATACAGGCTCGCGTTCCTGGGACAGCTTCAGGGGAGATGGAGTCCCAGGAATGGGCAGGAGTGACGGCTGCAAAGCACTGCAACTGTCCCCAACTCCGCTGGACTGCGCACTTAGAAATGGGTAAAACGAGCCAGGCTAGTGGTGCTCACCTGCAATCCCAGCATTTGGGAGACTGAAGCAGGCAGACTGCCTGCCAGCCTGAACTATAGCAAGACCCCGTCTCAAAAATAAGCGGGGAGTGGGGCTGGGGATTTAGCTCAGCAGCATAAGCGCCTGCCTTGCAAGCAGGCAGTCGTGAGTTCGATCTCGGTACTGATAAAGAAAAGGGGGGGGGGGGACGGGCAAAATGGCATTTGAAAACAAAGGGGGGAAAATGTCCTGGGAGTAAGGGAGGCAAGAGCTGCTCTGGCAGCCAGGAAAGGTGAAGCAGGCCATCCCCTCACTGTGTCTGTTCCCTCGGTGGACTCTCCTGGGTACTCCTGCCCACCCACGGGGGCAGACCAACAGCCCAGAGCGCAAGATGTCATCGGATGGACCCCACCCTGGCCTGGTCCCCAAAAAACACAGGTAGCTACAGCAGCTGGGAAAAGCTGCTTTACACATTTCCAAAGTTTCTAGAACATGGAACAATGGAGGGTTTGTCTCCAACCAGCTCGTTTCCTGCCATTCATGCTGCCCAGGATAGTGTTTAGCACAGGCGTACGGAGCCCACGCAGGAGCCAGCACAGGGCGAACCCTGAGGGCTTGCTCTGGAACCCCGAGGTCCCCCGACGCGGAAGCCCTGAAGGCAGGCACTCTCAGGGGTTACCCACCCCAACATCTACTGAGAAAATGAAGCCTATGTCCACACTGAGCGCTGGACACGAACATCTACAGCAAGTTTACCCTTGACCCTCTGAACTGGGGCCAACCCGAGTCCCTCTGCTAGGAGGGAGTGGGCACAGTGCCTTTGTTCAGGTGAGGTGCCACCCAGCAACGAAAAGGAACAGGAACAAATCTTTGGGTTGGGGACACAGCTCTGTTGCTCAGCATTGGCTTCAATCCCCAGCACTGTAAAATATAAACGTATTTTAAACCCCAAAAATCCAAAGACTGAATAGTTTATTTATTTATTTTTTTAACTTGGTACTAAGGACTAAACCCAAAGCTACGTTTCTTAGGCAAGCACTCTACCACTGACTTACATTACATGCCTGGTGTTTTTTACTTTTTATTTTTTGGTACCAGATTCATGACCTCACGCTTGCCAGGTAGGTGCTGGGCCACTAAGCCAAATCCTTGCCCACCCCGTTTTTAAAAATTTTCTTATAAACTTAAGGCAGAG